GGCCGGCGGCACCGCGACCCCCGCCGCGGACGAGCCCCGAAGAGCTCGGGCTGGAGACTGACCTGACGCGGCGGTCGGCGGGGGAAGGAAGCGGTTTTACTTAGGAGAACTGCGGTATCTTTTTTTTTTTTTTCCTCCCCCGTTCTTCCTCAAAAGGGAATTCTGTGGCTTCGTTTTTTTCCTCACCAGGGCTAGCTTCTCCCTTTGAACCTGCATTGAATTCCTGCGCTATTTATGCCAGTCTGTTACCTATAAAAGGATATCGGTGTCCAAAATTCCTCAACTATTTACAGGATCAGATGGGAACAATATGAATTTAGAGGCTTTACTCGATTGTTTAAGTAAAAACAGTTTTGTTTAACGATGAGCATAAACTTATTTAAAAACATGTGAAAGGTAAATTGACTTGTTTACTATATTAAAATATTTTCCCAATATGAAAGTCTCTGTAATACAGTATGTTCTCTTTGGGTGTGGGAGGATGATTTGAGAGGCATGTTGGACAGGAAGGGCTCTCCGGGTAGCAGAAATGGTTTGCTAACTGTAATGGGCAGCTGTGGCATATAATGTTGATTCATTTGTCGTTGGTCTCCTTAGGTAGGTGGAGAAACCTCAGCGCAAGCCTAACTTCTGCTAATCCTGGCACCTAAACACTGGTGATGAGAAGAGCTTTGGTCTTCCTCGACAGAAGCCGGTGGAGCGGGTGCCGAGGGGCAGCTGCGGCGGTGGGTGGTGCAGTGTGTCCTGGCTTTTACACCTGTGCTTTTCCCTGCGTTGGGTGGCCGAGCCCACGCACCATCCTGGCACCTCGCTGGCTCTGGCACCCTGGAGCCAGTGGTGTCCGGAGGTCAGTCTGTGCCAGCCAGCTTGTGATGCACCTTGGGCAGGTTTTCCTCCTAGCTTAAGGTTTTCCTGCCCTGTAGTCTTCAGAAATGTTCTGTGCACAAAAAAAAAAAAAACCCAAAACCAAAAAAACAGGCCTGTAATGACTGTGGGATGTGGGCTGTCAACTAGGGAACTGCAAGACCTCTGTCATTGTAAGCGGCTGCTTTTCATATTGATGGTTTCAGTTGAGTGCCTTAACTGTAAGGCTGCCAGGCTGTTCTACGTCCCTTGAAATGATCTCTGGAGTTGAGATTCCCTATGCTGAGGGATGAAAACATGCTCGGATGTGGTGTACGTGTTTCAGTTGTGCAAATTGCGAAGGTTACTGTAAAATATGAGACGACTTTTTTTAAAGTTGGAGGGGAAATAGCTGTATCATACCTGGTGCTGCGTTAAGCCTGTGTTGTAAGCTGGGTGCTTTACAGCATCTGTTCAAGGTAGAAACCAGGAACGGAGGGTTTCCAGAAGGGAATCGGGCAAAAGGAGGGACGGAGTGGTTTGGGTGTGATCTCCCACCCTCCTTTTCTGGAGAGCACACAGGAAAGTCGGTATGTTGTTGATGTGCTAAAAAAGGTGGCTAGCTGATGGGAAGGAAAGAAAGATCATACTTAGTCATTTTAGCCAAAAAGCATGTGTGTGTGATTGTTGCCACCCTTCTGCAGAGCAGGTAGAAGAGCCGGTGAAGAAGCTGCAAGCCTGGAGCTGCCGCTCTAGCAGGAGGCTGCTGTGCTCCCCTGTTACCTCCTGAGCTGCTTCTAAACTCTTCCAGTCCATCAGCTGCAGCAGCAGGGCTGCTGCTGCCCTGGCAGCCATGCTGGATCCTGGCTTGGGCCAGGCAGTTGGCTGGGTTTAGCCCCGTGTTTGTCTGTTTTTGCAGGAGCGGGGGATTTTGTTCCCTTGGTTCTGCCTGCGGCGCCTGGGTACCCACCCGTTCATGGGGCTGCTGCACATGTGCAGCAGCTCTGGGCCCTGCTGTGGAGGGTGCTGCTTGTCTCAGTGGTGTGCGCCTCCAGTTGTAGGGGGAAAGGTTTCTGCAGCACTCTGAGGGAGGAATGAGTAAAAGAGAAACAAGCCAGGCTCATTGTTTGGTGCGCATTGAGTTTAGTCTTCGTTGGCTCTGGTACTAAATGCAGAACCAGTTGGGAAGCATCTCTGGGAGGGAGCTTGTGTTTAACTTTTAAAACCTTTGAAGATAAAAGCTGGGTGGAATGACACAGATACTGGGATTTCTCTGGTCCTGGCCTGCAGCTGAGAGCTGGTGAATCTGTAGTGGCTTTGATGGCCCATCCAGTGTATGCTGGATATACAGACTCCTGGCATTTTTCACTTTAAATACAATTGCTCTCAGAAGACTAATAGAGCCTGTGTTGAGCAGATGGAAGAGGAAGTGAATTGAATTAAATGGGCTGTGTGGCCCTCTTCCAACCTGTCATGTAACTGCGGAGAGATGCCTTGTGTTCAGGAGCAGGAACTACTTAAAACTTTTCACCTGGTTTGTGGTTTTGGTGGCACAGGATGGTTGGGACAATGACGTTCAGATATGCCTTATCAAAGGGAATCGACCCATTGCTGCGGGCTGCCTCCCTTTCTGGGGATAAAAATAGTTGATGAGCCAGGACGAAGGTGGTTGTGGCTGTCTCCATTCCTGTATGAAAGTGCAGGCTTGATGAGTTTCCAGACTGTTTTTGCATCTTCTCCTCTGCTGACAAATTGAGATTTAAGTGAAACGCTTCTATTTCCGTACCTCTTACAGCTGGCTTTGGAGCATCCTGTTACTTCACTGCTGTTGTACTCAAGGCAGGGAAGTTTTGGCCTGTAAAGACACAGAAGGATTGTGGGCTGCTGGCCTAATGGCCAGGGAACTTTTGTGATTTGAGCAGCCTTGTTTTCCAAAGCCCTTTTGGGTCCAGAGTCTTCAGCTAAAATCCCTCTTCCATCCTTTCTCAAGCCAGGAATTGTAGGCCTCGTTAGGAAAACAGGTTCCCCTTAAGAGATCCTGCTGTTGCCAGCTTGTGATGAGCCAGTCTTGGTGCTTGCTGCTCTCTTTGTGGCAGACTGTCCAAGAAATGGGGGACTAAGTGCACTTTGCAAATACTTCTAGTAACGGAAAAGTCTTGTCTGGACTGGTTTATAGGTGAAGCTAACTTTTACAAATTCAGAGTACTAGGAATTTCTGGGGAATTAGGTTGGCTGCAACAGATACCAGCTGGATTGTCATCTTGGACTGAAAATTTTTGCGTTATGTTGCCCATCATTGTGCTGAGACACTCATCTGCACCTGAACATAATTTTTTAGTGCCCTAAAATGGTGTGGTTTCTAGTCTCGGGAAAACCTGAGGTTTTAAAGGCATGTTATCTGTTGTATTACTTCAGCTCCAATTCAGCAATTCAGTCTTACCCTTCATTGCTCCTCAAAAAAAAAAAAATAAAAATTCAGTTCACTTAGTGTAATTGTATCAGGTGAGATAAGGCACAGGCTTTTGTGTTGCTTCCTAGATAGAAATCACTGTAACCTTGTGTTCGGTACTGTTATTTCCTTGGAATTGCTGGTGAGGGTTAAGTCCCTTTACACAAATGCTGTCCTGCATGTGACTCGCAAACAGAACCGTGTCGTGTCCCCAGTGTGTGCAGATCTGCCTGAAAGGGAGTTGTCTGAAAGTCAGTCTGGATGAAGATAATCAAAGACAAGTGAAATGTTGGGCCTTAGGCTCTTGGTTTTAGTGATATAAGGAAGTTAACAAGTCTCAAAATTTCAGCTTGTGGGATACTCCTGTAAAAGCATGATGGCTGTGAGAATAGGGATTAAATAGTGGCATCTGTGCTTCTGTTTTTTTTACCTCGGTTTCTTATTGATTAAACATGCTAATAATTTTACAATGCTACCTTTCCCTCCAAGCTTTGGGTCTCTTATCATTTTGGGTTGAGTTCCAGATTTTCCTCCTCTAAGAGCCTTTAAAAAATTGTGGCACAGAGATCACTCTATGTTTGTGCTTCAGGTACAACTTAGTTCTGAAACTCGGTGACAGAATGCATCATTGTCAAGTGTCAGGGAAAGGTAAATACCGTAGTAGCTTTCATTTCTGAATTCTTAACCACAGTAATCTCTTAGGAGGATGGAGAGAAGACCAGGTCATGTTCTGCTGTTCACTTCTGACTGAAAAGAGTCTCGTGAGGGAGGAATTGGACTTGTGAGAAAATTTCTGCCAATACTGCCTTGTCTAACTCTCACATGATGACTGTGACCCTCCAGCACTGTGTAATGCTGCCTCTGCTTAGATCCTTGCAGAGGGATTTGAACTGCAAGCTCTGAAATAATGGAAGTGCTCCCTAAAAGGAGGAATAATAAGTGAAGAATTATTAATGTGTCCCATCAAAGGTGTATCTAGAACAGAGGATGTTTTCTTCAACCTTCTTGGTTCCTTCCTTGCATATAATAGATGCCTCTTTATTGATGTAGAAAACAGCCTTCTGCCTGCACACGCTGGTCTTGCCCCATTTTGCTCAATTTGTTCCAGGAGAGTGCATTTGGTGTAGCTCACATGCAGAGGGACCAGAAGAAAGGGAAATAACTGGGAAAAAAGTCACTAGAGCATGTAATACGCTCCAGTAGCTGATTACATTTTTATCTTCCAAAGCTACCTCTTCCCCAAGCATGTTCTCTTGCAGCTTCCACTGATGTAATGTTTACCATCCTAATCCCAGGTTCCTGGGGCTGGGCTGTATTTCTGACAAGGTGGTGGTCTTTTTACTCCAGATCTTGGCTTAATTCACGAGTAGCTGAAAAGCAGTCTTGTGGTGTAGTGTTGATAACAAAGTCAGTGGCTGCTGCTGGGCATCAGGGATCTCCTTCAGAGGAGTCAAAACCGATCTCAGTGGGTCGCTCTGGAAAGGGTTGCGCACGGATGGGGGAGTGTTACTGATGGCTGGCTGCGAGTCCTGGAGGTGCTGGAGTGTGTGGAGAGGGGAGCGGTGTAAGAAACAATTGTACCCGAGCTGGAGCACAAAGCTGAGGAGGTGAAGCTTGACTTCTGGCTGTTCTGCGTGTCCTCAGAGGCAGTTTTGGGAGAGCCTCATCTCTGGTCGGTTGTCATGTTGCTGCACTAATCCGGTGTGATGGGAGACGTCTGTGGAATTCCTGGAGCGTTGGCTTTGCCTGCCAGTAGCTGCGGAGCCTGTGAACTGGCGGAGCTGCTGTTGTACCACCTCTCCAAGGGAAGGCAGCAGGCAGTGTTCTGAACTTCCCAGCAGTGCTGTACCCTGCTCCTGCTCTGTGCCTCTGACTTAAAAAGCTTTTCACATAACTTAAAAAGCACTAACCACTGTATTATGCACTTTAAATACAAAAATTTCTGACTAAATGCCAGTTTAGCTTCAGGCTCCTATGCCATTTGCAACCAATTTATCTGGAGGGGAACTGGTGCAGAAAATGAGTGAATTTCTGTTATTTCTGCTTCTAGACACTGCATAGGGCTTTACTTGGTGGTGGTCAGCGTGGATATGCTGCTGTAGGTACTGACTTGGTGAGATAGGGATGGAGAGTGGGAGCTGCTGGTGGGATCACATTGTTGCTTCCTGCTGTAATTGACTTGGTAAAGCTTTGGAAACAAGCATCTCCAACTTTATCCATATGTATTTTTGTCCTTGGTGTGGGTTTTTTTAAATTGATCTCTTTATACAAGAGCTGATGCACTAGTCTGGAATCAGTTTTGATAACAGATTTTAGCTACAGAGCTACCCTGTTGAGATTGATGGTCAGTTTTGCCAACTAGAATAGTGTCTAGTGGCAAGCTAGTTTTTCAGTTTAAAGAAAACGGTGTTCTGCCTGCAAATCACTGCTGTTTATCTGTTGTGTGGAAGAGCTAGAAGAGCTTTCACAAAATCCCTGAGCTACCAACCACTGCTGGGAGGAAACAGGCAACTCTTCAGGCGGATGAGTTTGCACCCTGCCAGCTGCCGCCACGATTGCTGGCAGGAGAACGCTGTGGCGGGGAGGCAGCTTGGCTGCCTCAGGAGGAGCCTGGTGTTAGGAGGGACTGCTGTCACTGCACTGAGCTCTGCAGGTGAGGTCGCTGAGAGAGCCCAAGCATTAGGTGCTTTCCTAAGAGGTAAGCAATCCGAATTGGAGCTGTTGCTCTGAAAAGCAGAGATTACTGGTTCAATTCAGAAAAACTGTGTGGGACTGAGAAACTCTAAGAAACTGGAACTTTTTCCTCATTACAACTTTTATTTCATATAAATAATCCTTCTACATCAGATTTTTCAGTCCTTTCTCTCACTGTAAAGAAGAAAGAGCTAGCCACAGGTTTCTGAAAAATTGCAATCCAGGCACCAACCAAAGTGCATTTGAGCAAAGTGTTAATAAGCATGAAAAAAAATTACACTTAGAACAGGCAGTATCTGTACAGTCCCATCCCTGCAGCTTGGTACAGACTCAGTCCTTCCTAGGCATTGGTAAATGCAAAGTTACTTGGATTTGCAGGAGAAAAAGGAGAGAATGGGGGAAGATTGATGGTTTTCCTTTCAGAAGGGAATCTAGGGCAAGAAGATGCAGCAACAACTGCAGTTGGGTTTATCTCTACAGCTCAGTGCTGGGCCAGGGGCACTGTTAAGTTTCTGGCTGCGTGTCCAACTGCTGCTGGGGTGCAACAGGCTTGTGATCTGAGACTGTTTCAGAGGGACTGTGAGGCAAGCCAGGTCCTGACCTGTGCTGGGGGATGACTGACTGGGCCAAGACTGAGGTCAGTGACGTGATGTAAAAAGTAATAATAAATTAAACAATTGTAAGCAGGTTTTTGAGCCAGTCAGATAAGGGAAATCAGCCTTTAATAGTGATGGACAATCTCCAGGACCTGGAGCAGTTTTACAATCTGGTTTTTATCTATCTGTTCTTTTATCTGTTGCAGAAATCCAAATAAACTCAGTCTGAGCTTTGGGGTGGTGAAGATGTTTCTACTGATAAAACATGAAAGCTGCACACTCTGTTTCTTGATAATACCTGGTCTGAAGCCAGTGAACTCTCCTGAATTTGGCATGGAGAGGAAATTCCCAGGCTTGTCCTTCATGAGATAGGTGATGTGGATCTAAGTTATGTGGAAAACCAAAATGTTTATCTGTGCAAATATTAGTTTATTAAACCAGCGTACAGTATTTCTGCCCACACGTGTCAACCTTATCACCAAGGCAGTCTGCCACTTTGGTTAACAAATGCATCCTGCAATGAAACCCAGTACACCTCTACACATACGTGTCTGCATGTATGTTTGTCCTACATCAAGTTTTAGAACAGTGCTTCAAGCTGAGGGCGATACTCTCTCTGCTCTGTCTTTCACAAGTCAGAAACTCTGGTGTTACTCCTTGTGCCTGCTTTCTCTGGAATTGGTAGCTGTATTTCAGCCAGGTCCTAGTTTGCTGTGAGTCCCATAGCTGCATGGAAGCCCAGGCAGCTGAGCTTCTTGCACATTTATGTCCATAAATACTCATCCAGATCCGTGGTTTGAAAGGTGTCTTTTAAGGCCAGGTCAGAATGTCTGCGTGGCAGGTTCCAGGGGAACTGCTGCACTCTTGTTCAAGCACAAGGCTATGAAAGGCACAACCGGGAAGGTGAAAGCAGTTGATAGGAAGCCTTAGACCTTCAGCTCCACTTTGGCCTGGGTCCTGGTGCTGACTCCTTTGTGCGTGTGGTGGAGAAGGAAGGTGGTGGCATTTGTGCTGTCCTTCTCCTGGCCCTGCTTGGCACATAGAGCTGCACATATCTCCGGTTACCGGAGCCTTCCTGGTCGTAGGAAGCGGGCAGGGTGTTTTGTGGGGCTGCAGACATACCTGCTCAAGCTAGCAGCCACCTTCCTTAGAAAAAAGCAGAGTGTTCCGAGGTGCGGGTTGGGCCGCTGCTCCTGCTGATGGGAGGAGGCTGGGGGTGGCGTGTGCTTCCCAAAAGCACCTGCACCCCGCAACCAAACTGAAGAACACTTGCTGCCCTTTGTGTCCTGCGGCCCACACCGCTACCGCACATCTCTGCCAACACTTCAACCACATACAAACCCCTAGTACGAGAGCTGCTCTCCACGCTATTTTTTCATCCACCTACTGAACTACAACATAACGCCTCTCACCCTGTCTCCTAATGCTCTGTCAGTTGCCTGCTCCCTGCCCAGCAGCGAGGGAGAGCTGGCACAGCCCCAGCTGTCCTCCCGGTGCAGCAGGGAAAACAGGTGCTGTGCCCAGAAACCTAAATCTTAACTTTAAACAGAATTAGTTATTAAATAAAATAAAGTGCATCCAGTAGACAATTCATTGGCTTGCCACACAGCTGCAATATCGGCAAAACAAATACAAAAGATTAAGTGATGGTGGGTTTTTTGTAGGCTGGGAGTGTGTGTAGCCTTCCCTGTGCTTCAGCATATGGGGAGGAAAGGGTGATGCCAAAACGGAGTGGGGATGGTGAGGGGGACCCCCATGTTGCAAATGGGTGCTGAAGGGCACAGGGCAGGTGCTGAAAGCTGATTTCATAGAAGGTAAAAGAGCGAGAACAAGCTTGTGCTCCTCTTCTCATCCACCGCCTTCAGCACTTTATCCTGTGAAAGGAGAGCAGAGACAGCAGGGGGATTATCAGTCTTTGGGGAACTGCTGAGCAGTAAATTAAAAATGTCTGCTGAGTTTGAGCCTGACCCTCCTGCAGGGCTGGGGCTGCTTGGGGGGCACTGCTGCAGCATAATCCAGGCACCTCCTGCCAGATCCGAGGGGAGCCGCGGGGCTGCGCGGCCCGGGGGTGAACTGAATGACAGTTTGGGATGACACATGCTCCCCGTCCTCCTCTGGGTCAGGTAAGTCTGCTTTACTTTCTCCTTTTGTTTCAAGAACAACAATCTTCTGTGTGTGCTTCTACAGCACCTGGCACAACAAGAGGAGGGGCTGGGTTTGGGCAGGGCTTTGTGGTCCTCTCCGGAAACATGGCTGAGGGGTGCAGCACTTGTACTCACTGTGGGCAGAAGGGGGTATCAGCTTTTCTCTAGTGAAAAAAACATCCCGTGAGTGGAGCCTGCTGTCCTTTAGCTGTCTCCAGACCCAGATATGTTGGTTTTAATTGGGAAAGGCAGACATTTATTTTTTTTTCCCCCCTCTAATTGCCAAATGCTTGGGTGCTGCTCAGCATTGCTGAGCTGGCATTTTCCTGCATTCATGTTTAAATCCATAACTGCCTTTTGCTGATGCAGATTTCAGTACTCAAAGCTCCCAAGAAAGGGCAGAGGGGCAATATAAAAGGAAAAACAGATTAAATGTCATGAAGGCAGAAGAGGTGATAGTAAGCTTGGCTCACATGAAAAGGAAACCTGTAAAGGAATCATTTAAGGTCACAGCCTCGGATATCTAATAAGGAACTGCACTGAAATCATGCCAGAGGTACTGAACCAATGCTGTATTCAGCTGAGAGAAGATCCTAAGATTGTTGCTGGAGACATTTTTCATTGTCCTCTGTGTGTGTAACGGATGGGATTGGCTATGTCCTGCTGCTGAGGGGTGCTCAGTGCTGCAGCGGCTCACTTTGGGATTATAATGCTGCTGGGAAGGGCCAGGAAGCAGCTTTTCAGAGTTGCATTTGGTGGTCCAAATATCATAAAATCTGTTTGACAAGTCTGAACTGACTCCAGAGCTAGCTCTGTTTATTGTTAATCTATTTTACTACTAATGGTTCCAAAAGTCTCTTTGACAGCCCTGTGTTATTAGTGCTGGTAAACAATTCTCTCATATTTCTGCAATATCCTTCCACTACAGACACCTTTCTGGGCATGAGAGAGTCTTTACAGCCAAGACACTGGTGGGCTTTAGAGTCATTATTTCTCTTAGCAATTAGACATAGTGATTAGCATTTCTCTCATTTCACACTGTATCCTCTTTTCCATGCATAACTCAAGGGTCAGCTAGAGATTTAGCAAGTTCTGCGCTGCCGTGGTTGCCGCAAATCCAGGCTCGGGTGAGCAACGGGCTGTGTGCTGCCTGGGGCTCTGCCACCCGCAGCGAGGGGTCGGTGCCAAGCTGCCCCCCGTGTGTCGCTGCCACTCGAGAGGATCAATGCAGATCACTGCTGAGCTCTCCCAGTTCCCAGCCTGACCAAGCTGGATGGGGGATGTCACTGGGATGGCTTTCACAGCCAAGCCAATTACAGTCCATTGTAGGACCTACTGGTTACATCTCATCTCATGGGGGTGGATCTATACGAAGTCCCTGAAAGCTGCAGCTGGATGTAGCTGATGAGGCCTGGCAATGTGGCCCTTCTTCCTGCAGCTGAGATTAGCACCAGCCATCCTCTGCTTGGGTTGGGAGACAGAATTTTGTTGGGTCTCTCGTGAGGCAGGTCCTGAGTTCCCAGTGGCAATTTTGTCCTTGGTGGACCACTCAGTGAAATACCACTTGGCAAACTCAGACATGATGTGTAAGGACCATCTGTTAGACATCATCATACCATATTTTCTCACTTAAGCTTTTTTTAAATGGATATATATCTGCTGTTCCAACATACACTGTAAGGCTGGAAAAAAGACCTGTGAGATGATGAGACATCTTCTGTGTAGTACAGGCCACTGGACACCCTGGAATTAATTCCCATTTGAATTAGAACTGATTTCTTTAAGGGGGAAAAAAAATCTTAATCCTATCTAGATCTGCCACTGGTAGAAAAACTATCACTGCAACCCTCAATGAGCTCAAATAGGTAAAGAGAGTCTTTGGTGGAGATTCCTGTTGGAGTGGTTTAAGATACCATCACTCCCTCCAGTCTATCTGTTCCTTCCCAACAGCAGAGCTGGCAGGAAGGGGGACAGGACTGTGCCCCTTGGCATGGCCAACCACTGCGTGGTGCGTTTAACCCCCTCTCACGTGGGGTTTACGACCCGTTAAGAGGGTTGATGCCATTGGCGGAGGTAGGGGCACGTGCTCCCTCCTGCCAGCTCTGGGGTAACAGCAACTGCAGGCTACAACAGCAGCTCTGTTTTCAGTGTTTAGCATGGCAACAGCTTGCCTGCCAGAGCCCTAAATTATGTTTGGGCTTGTTACACTTAGTAAGTAGCCATAAGGAAGTACAGGTGAGCCAACAACAAGCTTTGGCCCGTGACTCTCAGCGCATTAACAGCTTCTAATGGTTCCTTTTCCCCTCAAGTCACCCTGACAAACCTAGGAAGAGACAGAAGCTCTTGCAAGGTGCCAGAGATTTAGGAATAAAGAGCCTACACTTCCAGGCAAGATGTGTGCACCGATTCTTTTGGGTGTCAGTGAAAGCACCTGCTTTGACAGAGGTCACCAACTTTGAGAAGACCACACACAACTTTGTCCTCAAGTTCATCCTGTTGCCATCACAAGTGCCGTATCACCCAAGCCCTGCCAAAGCATGCTGCTCAGGCCCGCTGCCTGAGTGGTCCTTGCTTCAGCCATGGCGTGCTGCCAAGTCCTCTGTCTTCCAACAGGTAATAACCTTTTTCTAATTTTTCCATATTTATTCACAGGCTTCTTCAATACCTTGATTCTCAACCCAGCATTGTTTCCTGGCTTGAATGTTTCTTCTCCTTCGCTGGTGTTTACTACCTCACTATTTATGAAGGTCACAACTCCATCACTTTCTGCCTTTTCTCTGCTAGACTAGAGAACCATTCCCTGAACATCTCCAAAGTCCTTCCCTGTGTTTCTTCAGTCCACGCACATTTCTCTTGAACCATTCTCACATAATCCCTGTGTTTTCCAATGTTAACAGTATTTTCCCATGTTATGCCACAGAAAGGCTTTCCATCACTCCAGAAGCATGGAGGTAACTGTGGCAAGTCCTGTGTTAAACCACACAACTCCCTAATTCTACATGAGGACTAAACTATCCGCTTGGGTGGTACATGGTCTGGGAATCTGAAATGCCCATAGCATGATGGTGCTCGTACTTCTTCCTGCACCAACCTTTAGCACTGGTTTGCATCAGAAAGCTGACCTCTTCCGACCTCCTCAGTCCTGCAGCACACAGGCCCTGCCTGCCCCACTCCTGTTTACGTCAGCCAGAGCTGCAGGGTCAGATCCCTGGAGCTGCTCTGGAAATCTACCCCCAGCTGCATTTTCTCTAAAGATGTTAAGATTAATTTTCTCAAGAGAATTCAGGGAAAAGCTTCTGTGGTTTTTGTGTATCGTTTACTTCTCTGGGACTTGCTGGACATTCTCCAGGGATTCCAGTCCTGCACTTCGGGTAAATATTTATTCCTTGTTATTTGAAGCAAAGGATGAAAGCCCCACCACACTCTCTGCACAACATCTCCAACTGGTTTGAAGGTGCTGGTGATTTTTAGTGCCATAAATAGACATTAGCAGTGGAAGCTGCAAAACCCACATGGTGGCTGCTCGCTGCAAGAGCTGCTGCTCAGTGGAACTGGATTGAGCAGCAGCTGCAGTGGGAGCGAGCTCTGCACCCCATGTGCCCCACAGTGCAGGGAGCAGGGCAGGTGGAGAGCATGGTGTCATCGCTGATCACTGATGACTGCTGTTACAGACGCCTGCTGTGCTTTGGGACAGGCTGCATCTGTGACCAGAGGGCACATCCCTGGTGTCAGGTGAAGTGAGCTGGTACAGGATTTTCTACCAGACAGAAATTCTACAATATGAACTTTTTAATGGCATGATATTTATACGTTCCTTTTGGGGCTGTATTTTGCAAAATCACACCATCTCTTTCAATGCTGATTTTCCAAAAATTGCACCGTATCAAAACTGAATTACCAGTATTTAAAAACATAACATAAAAATTTTATGTTTTGAAAAGGTTTAATGAGGGCTCCAGTTTGGGGTTTATGAAATACAAAATGTTGGAGCAGACACGTTTCTGGTGCATGAATGGCATTTGTCAAATCTATTTTTCACAGGAAAAAAAAAAAAAATCTCACTGGGAAGTTACCTGCTACCTCCTGACAGGAAATTATTAACCAGTCTTGATAACCCATGACAATGCATCCCTCCAGATGCTTCTCCTTAAGGCTGGTCCTATCTCATGTGGGTCCTACTTACAATAATGGTTTTTGCTCTGAACATCCTGTCCTCCAAGACAGCAGTCATTCAGACTCTGTATAGTTTGGATTCTTGGCACAGTCTTTGATCATGTTTTCTCCCAGGCACTTCAGGGCATTCCCTGGTATAATTGTTACATGGACACAGAACGCAGGAAAGGTTTCCAGCTGGCCTGGGTTTACCAAGCTGCTCAGTACCTCCTGGAGACTTTGCATAACAACAACCCATTCCCCTTGCCACAGGAACTCCTTCATCCACTGCTGCAGTGGGACAATCTTGTCACTGTGTCAGCCTGACAGGTCAGCGCAGTTGGGCACCGACATCTGCGATTCTGTGTAAGCATCAGCTAGCACAAACTCTACCAGCCCCACAGCCTCTGGATGGGATTATGGGCCATTCACTCAGGACTACCTGTCCCTTTGAGATTATATTCAAGTGATGAGAGGAAGAAAATAATTAAGGTGGTTTGGGCACCTGATTTCATGGTACTAGGCACAAAAGGAATAAATAAATTTTTAATTTTGCCTTCTATCAAAAAAGTGCAGCTCTTTGTTTAATGCTTGATCTTACTGCTCTTTCAGCTTCCTGAATGATGCTTTTTTCCTGGTTCTTGCTAAATCTATCTCTGCCTGATAATACTGCACTTTTTATTAGATGGGCTGAAAAAGGCAGAATCGTTGGCCTGCCACATACAGTTACGTCCTTGAAAGACTCCAGTGAAGGCAGCGACATCTCCCTCCGGGACGGCCACACCTATTAAGTCCCTCTGTGGGCCACAGGCAAGGGCTTTGCTGGAGGCAGATTTCCTGTGGGACAATCCTTGCCCTAAAGCATCATCTGGAGTCAGCTGCAGGCATCAGGCTCAGAAAGCCAAAAAACCAAACAGGAAAACCCTGCCAGGGATTGAAACACACCTCAAACAGGGGCAATCCTGAGGGACCTGGTTCCAAAGAATTGCTGTAAAATAACACTTCAGGGAGAATTACATGAAGATAAAGTAGAGCTCTGCAGCTTTTTATATATACAGTGCTCTAAAACTGATCTGTCTGTAGAGCACTAGGAAGCAGAAGCCCAGGGAGAAGGGAAGTGGCTGCTACCAGCCGGTGGTTATTTCTGCCTGCCATCTGTGTCATTATGCAGCCTGTCATGTTGATTTGGGAACTTCAAAGCTACGGCAGGAATAGACACGAGACCTTTTTGCTCCAAACACACTGACAACTTAACCGACTTGAGCCAAATGAGCTTTCGCTTTTTTAGTTGTTGTTGTTGTTGTTGTCATTGTTGCTGTTTTGTTGCTCCTAGGAGCCCTGCTGTCAAGCTGCGCAGATGAGCTGTTGTGAGCTAGTGCTAGAGAAATCCAGGTCTTGCATTTTTTTTTGTCTGCCAAGGGATGTTCCTGACAAATTGGACATAGGGAGCAGTTAAAGGCAGATCACTCTCTTTTTTCTCTTGGCTCTTCTCCCCACTACAAATAAATCATGGCAGAATTCACTCTGCAAATGATCTGGTTTGGGAAAGCCAACACTGATAGTGGCCTGTCACTGGTGCAAAGGGAGGGGTCAGATTGCTTTGTGGTGACTTCAGCAGACAGGAGGTGACAGCAATGCCCTGGAACACCATTAAAGCCTAACAGCCAAGCAGCACTCATGCACTCATTCTCTAAATGCTCTTGCAGTTGATGGAATGAAAAATACCCAAAACCCACTGCTGAGATGGGGGAAACTGGCTCACAGTGCCAGCGAGAAAGTTCGAGGCTTCAGAGGGAAGGGCAAGAAACCTTCAGATGAAACAATCACAGGCCATTTTATCTTCGCTGTGAATTAGCGACTCTGATTGCTCTAAGGGTTATAAAGAATGAGAATGCATTCTCCCGGTGTAAGATTTGATGGAGCTGCACCTGTTCCTGTGATCCTGACATGGGTCAGAACAGCTGCTTTTGGTTAAAGGCTGCCTGTCCCCACAGGACCTGCCATCCGTATCCTGCACGGAGCTCGCCTGAAATCTGAAGCATCTCCTAAATTACAGGAAATTTCAAAACCAGAAAGTATCTTGATTTACTTTGTCTGCATCAAAAGGTGGTATCTGATGCTGAGTGCATAGTTTAGGCACACCTGGAAACTCAAATTGTTTGGAAAAGAAGGGAAAATGAGGCAGGAACTTGCTCTCTTGTGGACCGGGTGAAGGAGAACGAGTGTTGCAGCGAGGAAGGAGATAGATGGAAGGCAGGCAGGATGACTTCATGGGACACCAGTTCACCCCTCATTTTTCCCATGGCATTATTACACTTGGTGTTTCCCAAGCAATAAATATTTTCAGAGTGCAATACTGGTCTTGAGTTCCAGCTTAACCAAGCAGATGCACAAGTGCTTAAGTGCAAACACCAGGTTAAGTCAGCCTCTTCTACAAGACATAAGGCTATGTTTATAATTAAGCCTGCTGTAATGAATTCAGTGAGGCGTGATGAAGGCAAGAGCCACGCTCAAGGGCCCTATTACTAAACCATAGAAATCTTCATTGCTGAGATGAAAATGGGCTACTGTAACTTATTGTTTCCTCTTAAGTCAGAATTAAACTTATCCTGAGTGAGAAAAGTAACCATTAATTCCTTCATCCTGTACTTTGGGGGGGATTTTTGGTAGATTGGAGAGGCATGGCCTGGACAGTAAACCCCTGCTATGTGCATCCAGGTATTTCTTAACATTTTCCTAAAAGCTGTTTGAATTAATTTCCCTCACTTGAAGGAATTTTAGTTCAAGCACAGAACCAGCTCCTGCTGGTTCTTGATGTTTTGTCTTTTTCAAATAGCTGTAACGCTTGCGCTTCTCCATGCCTTTTGAATGGTATTGGATTATAGTGAAAGTCTCTTTGTTAGCAGCTTAACCACTTCAGCCCTAAGCTCATTTGTACCTCTGGGACGAATACTAAGCAATAACTGGCGACAAGCTGCTGGCCAGGGTCTGAAGAAAAGCCTGGGAAAGGCACTTGGTAGGGGCTATCTGCCTGCCTAGCTTTGAGCAGCTCATTGCGTGAAGTGCCTACTTAGGGCATAGAGCCGCTGCCTCTACTTAAAGGATAGAGCCAGGAGTATCCTGAGAGCAATTCATGTGTTAGACAAGCTGGATTGCATTCTGGAAGTGCTCACCTCTCTCCTTTGAGGAGAAATGAAGCCCAGATCTTAAATCAGGTGCCTCTGTGCTCAGCCTGAGTTAGGTGGAGTGAATTGCAACCTTACTGCCTAAGCTGGGGGTGGAATCACATCCTGACTTTCTGCTCTGACCTCGCACCCATGAGTCCGATATCCTGGTCTCTGTGTGGCATTGCCTGGAAAAAACATGTCTTGCAAAAGTAACTGCTGAAAAGCCCCTACACGCTCTCCTTGCCCCCTCCTCCACATTTCTACCTTATGGGTGAGAGTGTTAACGGGCAACAAACACACCGGGGAGGGGGGTCAGGAACTCACCTTCTGTCTCAGGCAAGCCGGTACAATCTTTGCTAGTTGAGAATCTCCCCACTGTCTTTGTCCTGACAATCCTCAGGCTGGTCCCCTTCCCTGGACTGTGACTTTGCTGCGTCCTGCTCAGACACAACAGTCTTGTCAGAGCTGGCTTTCCTTGGGGGCAAAGGCTCTCCTCTGTGTTCAGTGCCTTCAGCATCTTCACCTCCTCTCAGTGCAAGCGTCTCCCCCTGAAGAGCAGGGTTTTGGGTCACTTCCTCCCCTCTTTTTCTCACCAGCTGTCCTTGACCTGCATCCAGTCTGTCTCCTGCTGTGTCCAGCTTTCCTCCGTGGCTGTTGGAAGAGTCCTCACTGGACTCCTGCTCTGAAGCTGTGTTTTTCTCTAAGCCAGCTCCATCTGAATTCAGGGGCAATGCCAAGGTCTCCTGGCTGCCATGCCTGGTGGCTTGCACAGTGCCTGGAAGGCTGCTCTGTGCAGCAGTGCTGTCGGTGATCTCCTTCTCCCGGGCAGTGTCAGCACTGCCAGGCTTCTGGCTGGCATCTTCCCCAGTGCCCTCCTTGCTTGGCTTGGGCCCTGGCTCCAAGTCACCCGTGCTGGCCACAGACGCCTCCACGCTGAAGCCCTTTGCTCCTCTCCGCTCCTCCTTCTGGCCATTGTGGGCAGACTGGACCTTCCCACTTCGTAGCCTTTGTGATGAGGAGGCCCCATGATCTTGGAGGCTTGGCTGTTTCACCTTCTCCTCTAGCTCAGCCGTGCAGTTCTCTTCCACCCCCTCCTCACCTCTGCTCTTCCGCTTGTCCATACCAAGGCTCCTCTGAGAAAAGAAGGAGATATTTAGCTCAGCTTATTAAAACACCAGTATATGGTTTTCCTTGCCTGTGATGGTTCTCAAAACTTGAGGAAAAAATTGCAAAGGCAATTAAAGGACATAAAAGGAGGTAGGTGGAGAAGTGCTCAGGAACCAGAATAAGTGGGGTGGTTGTGCTGACAGAGGGTAGTGCCAGCAGTGAAGTTGCTCTCACATGGTGCCATCTGGGGCGTGCTAATGAGGAATGCCTTTCCCAACACAGAGGGCTCCCAGCTCTGCACTGGCTGAGAGCCTCCAACTTGCCTGTTGGTGCATGTTTTGAGAAAACTCAGCAGCCAGCCTTGAACTCCTGAACTCACCTGGCCATCAAAGTCATCCTTCAGAAAAGACATGTCCTCGCCTTCTTTTGCATCCCATCTGTCAAGAAAAAAAAATACCAGAATTTAGGCCTTCAAGTTCTTCTATGGCAAAGCCACTCTCCCTGGGCCTGACACCTGGGTAGGAATTTCTCCCAGTGCCATGCATTCCTTGTCTGAGCCCCTGACCAGGCAAGGAGAGATGAAGGCAGCAGACAGAATTGGTCCAGTTCCTCTTGGCACCTGCAAAGCACTCAGCTCATCCAGAGAGCTCATCTGAGACCACTAAATCTTAATGATCTGGTTGTTAGAATTCTAAATGTAATGAAAATGTAAAATCCAATTGCCAGAACAGACAGTTGTCATTAGACTAATAAGATACACAGTTTGCTTATGCTGGTGTCTGCCACAGTCTTGTTCTCTTGTCCTGCTTGCTTGGCAGTGCCCAAGTGTCCCAGATCTCCACAGCAGGAGACACGGGGGGAGACAGTGAAGGATAAAATTGCTTTGAAGCAGTTTGGGAGACCAGAGATGTGGACATGTGCAAGCAGACTGCAAGAATTCCCATAAGGATCAGACTGAAGGCCCAGCTGGCCCAGGCTCTCTTCCCCTCTCAGCATCACTAGCAGAGGCTTAGGGTAGAGTTTGGAAAGTGGGTGAATGTGTTTAATGCCTCCCCGGTACCCTACCCAGCACCCAGAAATGTGCAGCTCTGGGATTTCCTGAGCCTGAGATGGTATCTCTCTGTCGAGTCATGCTCAGTAGACAGTCTCTTCCAAGGATTTGTGTAAGTGCATTTTGACCACACAATAAATTTGCAGCAGCTACAACATCCTGTGTCAGAGGGCCACAGCTTAGAGGCTGCATGACAAACTGCTTGTTTTTGCTTGTTTGAAGTTGTGAACGTGAATATAAATCTGAATTTGTCCATGCAGTGTTGCTGGGCAGAGAGGGGTCTTACCTTCTTAACGCGTGCCTGGTGAGTTGTATCTCACACAAACATTTTATATGTATACACATATATAATATACACATATTTCTCTCTGCCCCATACCCTTAAAATACAACATGTGCAAAGGTGTGTGAAATTTAATTCTTCTCTATGCAGACTCTGCTGGGCTTACTGGCCTCTTCATTTGGCAAATTTGGGCCAAGATACAAAAAATGAAAACGTGCACTGAAGTGACTGCAGTCAAGCACTTCCAGAGGCAAATGTGTTAGTGACCCCACATGCCCTTGTGAAAACTGTGGGAATTACATCATCGGCTCCACCACACCAGCATGCTAAACCACTTCACGCTCTCTTTTTATCTGGTGAAGTCCTTCGGGCAGGAGCGAACAGCCTTTGCGAGCACCTCAAGGCTTTCTCAGAGTGTAGAGCTGGGTCCCATGTCCTTAACCAGACGGAAGGCAAAGCTGCTTGGCACAGTCCTGTGGGGCTGGGACTGAGCCAGCACCCAGACCACAGCTGGGGAGGTCTTGTCTCCAATACTAGGTAGGTCCCTGTCACCGGCTGAGCCAGCTCCAACCACAAAGGGCCCCTTTTTGCAGAAGCAGCCCCACCATTGGGGTTGTATTTTCAGCAGTGCCCTGCAAGAGCTCTGCAGGTCAGGCCCTATGGGCAGAGCCCATCATGCGTAGCCAGATGCGTTCCGGATCAGTGTGGGCTACCCTCGCCGCCAGTTCCACTCTGCGCTCAGCATCGGTCTGGTGAGGCTGAGGAATGCTCTCCCCAGACAAGTATCTAAACAGAGTAAAACCTTGCTGACTGCAGGTCTCTGCCTCTCCCTGCTCCATCTACCACTGCATGAGCCAGCCCAGAACAGACCACCCCCATAGGTCTAAAGATAGCCCACACTAGTTAGACAGCAATTTTAAAATATTCAGCATCTCCACCTGAGACGGTCCTCCTCTCCATCATTACCACTAACACACTGGAGTATTATTAATCAGTAACAGGCACTGAAGATGCTCAGCACACTCCCTAGCATGGGTAGTGCTGTCCCTGATAGATGCTTATGTGGGAGCTTGGCTCCCTGTTCTCTGTGGGGTAAGGTGCTGAGGGAAGTCACCACCAGATGCTCCAAGGGGGTCTTGCTGCTGCTCTTGGGTTGCCTGGACTGAAGCAGGAGAGGAGTCTGAGTGCTAAAGGGCGGACAGGAGTGAAGGCAAGGCATATTCAGCACATCAACGGCTCCCTGAGCTGAGGTTTGAAATGAGAGGAAAAGCCTCAGGAATGCCTCTTCCCAAAGAGCAGCAGTGGAGCACAGGATGCTCTTCCAGCTTCAGAGACAAGATTACATGAGCAGAGTCACAGGATCCCTTCTAGATCAACAGAGGACACAGAGGATGCAGTGGAGAGGAGATAAGAAAAATGAACATCCATGAGGTGAGATGATGGGCAGAAGGAGAGCTATTCTGAAGTGATACTGCCAGGATGGACCAGTTGGGTGGTGCTGAGGGAGATGTCCACGCTGCAGCAAAAAAATGTTTGGGTTCCGCATTTCCCCTGATTTTCCTGGGTCCACGGGTGAAGACAAGGACTTTATGGCAGGACTCCATGTTCCAGCTACTCACATCAGTGGTATTTAAGATACTTCTTTGTAGTTTTAAATGGACCATGATTTTTCCATCCTGGTAGCTGATAAATATGAAGTACAGCAAATGAGAACAAAAAATTAAATTGTGATACCTCCTGACCCCATTCCTAATGGAGGATGCTCAGGGAGGAGTATGATGTATTGTTTCACTGTGAGATTAAAATGAGAAAAAATAAAAAGAACAAGAATAAAAAATGTCTCTGTGGAGACAATAGTAGATAAGATTTTATAATTTCATCAGCAAGAGAATTTAGACATTTAAACAGGATTCTAGCACTAGCTATTCGGGGCCTTAAAGCCTTTAAATGGATATGAACAATATCCTGTTTGAACCCAGCAGCCCTAGAGGAGTCAGACGCACTAAAAAGCCTCTGAGCCTCTCACTGGGTACTAGAAAACACCTTCTCAGTCTGTTGTGAGACAAGAAACAGGCTGTGGAAGCCCATGACAACAAGCCAGGCCTCCTCTCTGCGACATCCTCCCTGAAGTGCAGCCTCTGGGGCTCCCACAGCACTAAACCTGTGTGTGATCTGCCCGGGTGACCAGGTCTGACTCTGATGTGCTTCAAGCAGGCGTATCCAAGGCACAAGGGATCTTCAGTCTGCTGGACCCACTGCGTAAATCTGCTGCTAACGGGGGGGGGAGGTGAGAAAGCAGGGGAATAATAATGTATTACTGCAGCAGGTAGAAGTGCTGACACCCTGACGTAGCCCTTCTTGGTTTGAAACAATGCCAGCTGGCCTGGCTGCCAGCAGAGAGAAGGCTGCCTCAGCGACCTGCCCAGGCTCTGGAGCAGACGGGCAAATCAAGACCATGGCAGGAAGACATTCTGAGGGCCACTAATGAGGGGCAGCCTCATGAGATGTCATCGAACAGCACTTTGAGCTGGCCAGCCAGACGCTCTGAGGCTGTACAAAACATCACATCCCAGCCCAATGTTAGTTCTTTGAGTTTCTGCCATAAGACAGCTAGCCAAGGCATTCCTTCTAGGCATGGCTCAGAGCTCAGCATAGAAGGAAAAAGAAGTAGCTTAAGACCCTGTTAGGATTTCTGGAAACTAGTCAACATCTGCTTGTCACAGGCACACTCTGGGGCACAAGTCAACCTTTGCCGAGGAGGAGAGATGGCGAGCATGGAGTGGTCGGGCTCTCATCTCTTCCCCTGGGCCTGACCAGGGCAGAGATGGAGCCTGAGGCAGGACCTGAGTGCAGGCGACTGACCCACGGGCCGTGGCATCAGAGTGTGATCCAACCGCCTGCTCTGCCTATAAAAGGGAAGCAACAAACTCTTTGTCCATTCCAAGAAGCTGCTCAAAATCAACACTGCCCATTTAGCCCAAAACTGCTGTGTTATTTTAGGAAAGCTGGATTCTGTAAGAAGTGCTATCTTTTAGAAAGGATGATAGCCTAAAGTCAGGTCGTTTGTGGCTGTTTAAAATCCTACAACCAGTGTGGGGGTAGTAGTGTCTGCCCAAGAGCTACCCGTACTCTAACTTCTTACATATAGTATCAGGTGAATGTATTTTTTTATTTTGTTTCTCTCCTCCAGTGCAGCTGTTGAAGTAATTCCTGTACATAAATTTTCTTTCTCTGTCTCTCTCTGTCCACGTCCCTGTGCCCAGTTTTTAGTTTTTCCCTCACTGCCTTGCAGCCTGTCCCTTTTTAAATTTTATTGTTATCTTCCTCTGTGCAACTCCCTGTCATTGTTTTGTTTCTTCCCTCTCTGCCTTGTGGCCCATTACTTTTTAAATTTTGTTTCTGCTTCTCTCTCTCTGACCAGCTTCCTGTCCTTTTTTTATTATCACAAATAACCAGATCTCAGCGGCAAACCTCAGCTGTGGAGCCACGCTTACTCCTGAGAGTAGTTGTTGAGGTCTGGGAGTTTGGTCTGGCCCTGACAGGTCAGCATCTTCAGGCGGGGCAGAACTGTGTGTAATTGCTGCATCTTTCCTAGTTTTGAACAGCAGTGTCCAGCCTGCAATCTGAAGCCTTCTAAGGTATTTACAGAAAGAAGAGAAAGCAAATCTACTGGTGTGCTCATCCCTCTGGGAACAGCTGCAGTCCCCCTGTGCTGCAATCAGCAGCGAGGGGAGAGCGAGCCCCAGCACAGCTCGTGAGCTTTTCTTTCCCAAGTACATTTTACTGGGGATGGAGCACTCGGGAAGGCACAGAACATAATTTACAAACTAACAGGATTATTTGCATGCTGTTGATCCTACTCTTCATCAGTTCATGAGAATTACATTTAATTTTAAAACAGGCCTTAGAGAGTCAGAAAATAACCCATCTTTATGCTGTAGGTAACTTCCCAGTCCACAGCATAACCAGCTGAGGGTTACGACTGCTCAGGTGCTTCTCCTCAAAGCGCAGCCACTGGAAACAAAAGCAACATTCTAAGATTTTCAGGTTTAATGCAGTGCCAGGCCCTGCATGTTAGACCTGCCACAGAGCAGAGCCCCGCACACACAGATCCTGCCCAACACTCCTCATTGCAGCCAAGTCACCACAAGCAGGAGCTGACCTCCAACTAATTAATTTCTTCTGGGAAATGCTGCGAGGGTCCCCATGAAGCACGTACCTCTTTATGCAGCTGTTTAACTGCACGGTCATAACTGACCTGGATGGCTGAAACCTGCTAACGTTAAATGCTACCAGAATGGTTTTGTGTCTGGGTAAATGAAGAGGCTTGGGGTATGTAATCAACTCTTCATCCTTTTGTTGCCCGCTAAAGGGCATGGCAGGGCTGCGAAGACGATCACTGTTATTAAACCGTCAGTGTGGCTCCAGGAAACTGGAGACTGTGCTGAAATTTAATTATGGAGAGCAGCAGGGGAGGGGCCCCCTGGGAGGATGTGGGCGAACCTGTAAAATGCACTTAGTTTTGCTGATATTCTGAAATTACTTCTGTGCAAATTACTGTCTGCTGTGTGCTGCCCACAGCTGGCAGGAGCAGGCCACTTCCCTCCTCACCAGGTTAGGGATCTTTAAGAGTGGTTTAAGAAGGAAAGACATCTGTACCACAGTATCAATCCTAAGTACTATTGGTTCAGTTGGAAACTATTTTTGGGGGTGGCTCCTCCCTACTAGCAGTGCCTGGAGGTCAGATAAGCTGTGTTCAAAAGCTTGCTGGGGCACGTGCCAGCACTCCCCAAAGCTGGTCAGAGTAACTCTGACCCCCCCGGGCTGTGCTGTGGAGCTGATGCAGTGGGTCAGGACAGTGATGACGCACCCCACAAGTACCACAAACCCTACTAAGTGAAGTCCTGCCAGACATGGTCCCAGCCATTGTGAACTCATCTGAACAGCTGCCACTGTGGAACAATAATTTTTTTTTTTTCTGTCCTTCTTCACAACCAGGCAAGGAATGAGACCTGGGTGTATCACAACCACTAGATTACAGCACTGCTGCTGCCTCCTCCTCACCTTCTGGCTCTGCCAGTCAGCCTGTCCTTTCCTTTGGCTCGGCTGCTCACAGCAGGCACTGCTTTCGGGCCAGGATCGCTCACATTCACTCCATGGTGTCCTCCACCTAGAAGACAGGTTGGAAATGCCGTGCAAGAGCAGGCAGAACCAGCTGATGGACCACCGAAGGGGCCGGCATCCTTGTATTGCTGGAAAGTGCCTCTGGGGGGGAAGCCTCTGAAGCTGTGCGCATACCATATGTATATTTTCTAAAGTAATAAATACAAATTGAGAATTTAGGGGTGTTTCTTCTGCACTTTTTATTCCAAATTCCAATTATAACTTTAAATCTCATTCTTTGGATACAGTCTTCCTCGTGCTTTCTCAGAAGGGCTGTTCTTGCTCTCCCTTGTCACACAGCACGGACCGTATGACAGAGCTGCGAGAGCAGCCACACGGTATGATCCCCAAAGGCACTCCAAGACCACAGCAGCACCCGGAGAGAACTCTCTCCATGAGGGCGTATCGGAGGGGCCAACGCAACCGCGTCGTGTGGTGGACTCACCTCTCCCGTCGGGAGGGAAGGACCTGTGCTGGAATTTCCTTGCGTTTCTTCCCCCTGAAAGGACAGAGCAAAGCATGCACAGAAGTGAGCGAGGTTCTGTCATGGACATGCAGCAGAAAGCCTGATGTTCACATAGGGTGTCAGAAGGGAAAGCTTTGTTCTGCCAGTCCATCTCCTGAGAAACAGGAGTTGTGATGGACTTATGCTAGTAAAGAAGCCAGCATGTGCCACAGGGATCAGAGATGATGTGCTCTGGAATAGGATTGCCTCTCAAACTAGTGTTTGGGAAAGGAGGCCATACTGAACCTCCGTATTGTGCCGTACAAGGTTACAGAAGCCACTGCTCTCCCTGGGAAGGTAAAAAGCACTAGCACCCAGACGCGCAAATCCCATCCCCTGAGCACTCTGCAAAGCAGAGAGGGCTGAGACCCCAACACTGCGCTCAGAGGCATTTGCCCAGGAAAGCAGAGTTTTACAACCGACAGCCACGACAGCTGCTGGCACTGGGATTCACACGATCAGCATTCACTAGCATCAGGACAGAGTCTAGGTGTCCCTTGCCAACCTTTCTTATTGCTGGGATTATCCAAGGCTGGCTCCCCATCCTTAACAAAGTCCTCTTCAAACCTGCAGGTTAAAAACAGGCATTGTCAGACCTGACCGTTCTCCTCCAGTGTGCAAAAGCATGGGCAGGAGACCTCGAGACAATGCAGGCTCCAGCCTTCGGCCCTTCTGCACCTGCCCACTGGCAAGTATGTGCAGGTTTATCAGCAGGAGCTGAAACTGCATGCACTAGCCAGGAGAAATGAGGCTGTGAGGCAATTCTACCCCAAAGGAGAACCTCTAAAACCTTTACATCAGCACCCATATGTATATATTTAATTCTATGAACATCCATGAAGCCTATAGATGCCTGTAGTGTAGCTGTACCACACTCAACTGCAGCCTCCCAAGCTTCCAGAGTCTGGAGTAGCTTCAGGATTTGTCAGATCAGACTCATTTGGTTGATTTCTAATCCTACTTGATTTGTATTATGGCTTTTCTCTTAAAAATTGGTATACATGAGAACAGATCAGAGCTGTCCTGCCAGCAACACTGAGAACCCACTTAAGTCAATTCACCTCTAATTATTGGGGTCTCAGTGACTGAAAATCTATGTATTTAGTCCCATTCCTCAGCCAAAAGACTGACCCACCTGTCTGCCCTGTCCATGCTCTTTTATCAGCAAACCTGTGTAAGATTCCCTAACTCCACCACCTCTCAAAACCTTATCCTGCTGCAGGTGCCAAGTCATCCTCCAAAGCTTTCTAGCTGCTGTGACCAGTTGAACAAGCACAGTCAGAGGGACAGTGTTTAAAGCAGCAAAGTGTCAGACCCCATTAAGAGCTCTCCTGTATTGCTGTCCCCAGCACCTCCCCACATTACTGAGGTAAGCCCTTTGAAGCGATCCCCCCACACCGCAGTGCCTGAACGGGCTCTGTTTATGAGGTGTGGAGGATTTAGGCTTGTTGGCCTGTCCTGTGATTGAAAAAGAGAAAAAAGCAGGGCAGTGAGAAAACCTGCGGACTAGCAATGCAAGTTTGCCCACCCCTGTTTCTAGAAGAGCACCTGCACCCTCCTGCCATTGGATTTGCCCACATGGAGGTGGAGATGATCCTCCAGATACAGACTGAGCATTGACTGATGCTGCCCTCCCTCCCACAGTCCAAGTCCTGGTGGGACCAGAGGTAGGAAATCTTTGTCAGCACACAGGATCTCCTATCAGGACATAATCTGACCTCACGTCAGAAAGAAAATACAAGAATCACTCTGATACCTGGTCCCACTGACAGACATGGTCAGGAGGAGAAAGAGACAGCAGTGTGGATTTGGTCAGGGAGAGGCATGTGACAGCATGGGATTCAGTCAGCAAGAAATATCTGCACAAGATCTCATCACTGGCTTTCCATGGCCTGCTGCAGACAAACCACCCCAGGACAGTGGATGACCTACATGTGCTCTGACTTCTCCACATCCCAAGCCCGTCGCCACTCGCCCTTCGCATTCTTGTGACGTGCCAGTCGCTCCAGGTCGATCTGATCTCGCTCCCTCTTCCAGCGGATGTACTCCGAGCGCTCCCGTCCAGTCATGGGGAAACTCAGCTCCCCAGGGTTCTTCTGGCCTGACTTCCCACCATCCTAGTGCAGGCAGAAGAGCTCCTCATTAGTAAAAATCTCTGAAACAGCTGCTTTCAGTGTACTTTGTACTGTCACCGCCAGAAATGCTCAGTAATACTTGAAAACAACTTGGAGCAAGATCGGCTTCTCTCTCTAAAGCAACATGCACACAGAGGGGCTCTGCTTTACCCATCATCTAAATGTACTGGTCCCAGGGCTGGCTGACGTTATGGAGAGGAAAACTGAGGCAGGAGGAAGTTACACAGCTTGCTTCGAGTCATGTTGTAAACCCACAGCCAAACATTCCCTCCCAGGGATATTCAACAACAATAATGAAAATCTGTGGCAATGCATTTCTGAAAAGTTGTTTCACTTCATCCAGACTGTATGAAGTGTGTTACATTTCAAAGGATTAAAATTGCTTCTACCAAAACCCCTGAATTTTGCCATCTGGGTACTTTCCTGTTGCCTTAATGAGATGGGGCTTCACTGCTGTTTCCCTAACCTGAACCACAGTGTTTCTCTGGCTCCTGTAGCAGTTCTGACCTCCTGATCTGTGAAGCAGCTGCCATAAGATGTAGTTTTTCATTCTAGATAGTCAGTACCTGATTACAAACTTTTAAAGCATGCCCCTGTAATTCTGTGTGCAAATGGCCACAGGATTGATTTGCCCCATTTGTACTTGCAGTCACTTCAACTGTGCAGGCATAAATTAGACAGTGGCTTTCACCCACAGTGTTCCTGCTCACCTCAAGATTTTAAAACCAAACGTTCTTAATTTTTCCAGGAAGAGGCATTTTGCTAAGGTTTACTTATGGCATATAGTTAGTTCCCGGAGTGCTTGCAACATCTCCCAACAGAGCTTGGTGGGTTGAACTCTCACAGAAGATGCACCAGGCTGATGATTCCCCCAACCTGAAGACTTTGGGACACTTAAAATCAAAGTTACACCTACAAAATCCTTCACACTGACAAGGTGGAGAAGAAAAATGCCTTCTGTGACCACCAGGCACACACAGCCCTGGGGCTGGGGCCAACCCTGTACCCAGGGCAGGCGGCACTGCAAGTGCCAAGAGCAGCATTCCCGAAGGAAAGGGGCTCTTCACCTTGGCTGCTTTCAGCCTCTTGGTTTGTCACTCCACCTCACGACAGACTAGCTTAGAGCTGCCACTGTTCAACAATTTAGAGCTTAATGAACAGATAGTTCAGAGCTGATGGAGCATGTGGAGGGAGGTGGGGGGTAACTCAGCTGTCAGGTTAATGGACATGGTGGAATCAGGAGCCAACTGCCCACAGTGCGTTGTCAAGCAACACTGCGTAGGGACGAGCTTAGTGCAGAGCTGAGTCCTGGGGTGCTAATTACCAGTGGGTAATTCATCACTTCATACACGTGCCCTTCCACACCAGCCACCCTCACCCCTTCCCTGAACAGGAATTAACTCCTCCTCAACATTGCACTGCGGATAAAAGCAGAGCAGTGGGAAAGGAGCAACTGAAAGCCCTGTTACCAAGGAGACCTACCTGTGTGGGCCAGGGACCGGGTGGCAGTAACTGCTCCCCCATTCCTCAGCTAGCAGCAGCTGGGGGACCTGAGGCTGCAGCCCCAAGAAATGAGAGATGAGGGCCCCACAGGCACCCAGGACAAAGCAAGGGCAAACAAACACTCAGCCTTGGGATAGGGCACAGGCCCAGGGGTGCCCCCTCCAGGTTCCAGCCCCACAGCACAGTAAGGCACAGGGGGTCCTGCCCTGAGACACCTGCAGAGGAGAAGCACAAAAGCCGAGCAGCACACAGCTAAAGAGCAGGGCTTCGCCTCCTGAGCTGGCGGGTGAGGAAAGCACTCTGAGCCATAACCTTGTCCTGGAGCAAAAGGGAAGCCAAAAGCAAGGGCAAGACCAAGGCTGATGCCCACGTGCTCTCAGTAGTAAATGCAGAAGCAGCTGTGGGGCCTACAGAGTTGGGGGAAAGAAGGGGGGCAGGAAGCTGGTCCCTGACTTGGGGCTCATCCCAGTTGCAGCATAGTCATAGTTAGTTAGACCACAGGACTGTCCTGCTCCCCTTTTCTGCTCTGGGGGGCTCAGTTGGAATTAATGTTTAAGAGCCCATCTGTGTCCTCCTAATGAATGGCACTGAGGTGGGGCTATTCAATTTGTGCTCCATTAATTAAGAGCATCTGCAGGCTCAGGGGAGCCAGCATGTCCTCCAGGGTTTGCATTAAGCAGTCAGTGGGAAGGCCTGTGCTTTAATTTACCTCCATCCTACTCAGCTTCTGTTGAAGTGAGGAGCTGTAGCTAACACAGCCTGAGCCTTTCAAACCACAAGCAAAAGGTTTTGGGAGAGCCTGCAGCTGGGCCTGTGCTGCCACAGTGGTGAGTGCGTTCCCTTCCATGCTGTCACTGCTGCCATGCTGGAGACTTTACCAGCCCTGGTGAGGTGGGAAGGGCAGGTCCTTTGCTTCAGGTGTGTTAGCTGCTCAGCAGAGCTTTGGATGACGAAAGGGATGAACAGTGGGGACCACACCAGAACATGCTGCTGCTTCCTTTAGGGCTGAGGTGACTCTTAGTGGTGGGGAGGCACATCCTACTGGTTTTCTCTTCCAAAGACAAGGGTACCCCCAAAGAGATGTGGGGCCCCACTCACCTTCCGGCTGTGCTCACTTTCTGGGCCTCTGTCACTGTCTGATCTCCGCTTCTCTGCTGTTCTCCTCTCCTCTGCCTGCAAGAGCATGGACAGGAATTATTTCAAGGATTCAGCAAGGTCTCCTGGCAGGGGAGTCAGTGCCTGACACTGTGCTCACCAGGACATCTAAGAACTGCCCAGAAAAGGTCAGCAAAAGGGGAAAGATTGGTTTCTGGGGCCCTGAATCAAACTGATGTAGAAAAAAAGAAGCCAGAAAGTAAGGGATGTATGAGAAAAGCAAGAAAAAGGGATGCATTCCCACAGACACCTCCTCCTCCCAAACTAGAGGAAGCAGTGTCCTGTATGGCCCCATTTCTCCCCAAGGCAGACCAAGTTTCAGGTACCTTTTCAGATTTGGGCCAAAGACCCAGGTTATGATTCAACTGTACAGGAGCTGGCAGCCCATCCTAGACACAGTTAGAAGCCAGCATAGTAAAACTAGGAGTGATTTTTGTCCCTATCAAACACAGTGCCCTTCTCCTGGGGTCTGTCCCTGCTTTCTGGGTTTAGCCATGCTGCCACCAGATTGGCAAACTCTGCTCTAGGGCTGATAGCTCCCGGAGGTGAAAATTAGCCCCTCTGTCTTAACGAGCTACAGACACTAAACACGAGGCACGCTGTGGGCCAGGCAGTTCTCTGGCCCTACGTGGGAATGATAATACAGATGCAGCCAAATCAGAGGCCAGGGTGGCATCACAGTAGGTCTTAGCAAAATAGTCTGCAGAGCATAAATATCTTTTAAGAAAGGCTTTCTGCCCCGGTTAGACAGTTTTGTCGGGGTGCCACCGGGAGGGCTGCTGAGCCCCTCAGGGCAGGGGGTTGATGCTGGCCCGAGGCTCTGCACAAGTGGCTCCCACTCCCACCCAGGCGTTGCCACAGCACTTGATTTGCAGGAGGGTGGCTGCCAAGTGGCACAGCATTTATCACGGCGGCCTCCCCCCGCTTTGTAACCCTACGTGGCAGCCCCAGAGCTGCCTCACACAAACACTGCCACGAGTGGAGAGGCCCTAGCGTGCCCTGCTACGGGGCTGGGGAGCATGTGGGGCTGAGATTATCACGCTGCCATTTTGCACCGCCAAGCAAAACTAAAACACAAAGAGGAAAGTCACAGCACAAACTGTCGGGTCAGCCGTTCCAGAAAGCATCCATGCGGTGAGGTCCAACCCAGGCTGGAAACGTGGTTTTTATTCCAGTGAATTGCCAGCCCCAGATTTAGCCCAGCATTACCGGCCTGGCTGTGGAAAACTTGGGACACCAGTCCTGATACCTGCTGGCTCTGCCCAGCCTCTCAAGGCAACTCATCCCTGCTGTAGCCTGCCCCTGTGTGCCTGGGGAGATGGGGCAGGGAGCGAGCTGGGGGCCGACTTTTGGGGGATTTTCTGTGTGTGCTGCATCTGAGGCAGGTGCAAGCGTGTCATGGACATTGCCCTCAGTGCATGACAACTTCCCAGGTCTGACTGGCGTGAAGCTGCTGTAGCTCCAGGACAGGGGGAAGCTTGTGTAAACAGATCCTTGGAAATCAGCAAGGTGTTAGCTATATTGTCCTAGGATTTCTCAGCAAAGATTTGGGGAATAAGCAGAGGAGTCTGTACTGAGAGAAGCCACCCCTCACCATATCCTGACCTGTTGCAAAACGGCCAGGATATGGTGAAAGATGATACTGGGTATTTATTTCAAAACTTGTTGCAAAAACTTATGTAACTAAAAATGCTCCCTCCAGCCTCTAAATCAGCTGCTTGTGCAGCCCCATTTGCAGAACCTAGTAGCAACAGATCTAACGAGTCTCTGCAGCTCCAGACCGAGACTTTGCATTTATAGAGAGATTAAACCAGCAGAAACCTGGAAACTTTGCTTATCTGAGGAGGCTGGCTGGGGAGCAAGGTGCAGATGGATGTTTAGCCTTTAAAGCAGCTGTAAAAGAAACTCACCATTTTAGAAAGAGTACAAAGGAGCCAGCTGCTGCAGAAGAGCTGGAGCCCCTCCTTCCCTGGGGAAACCTTGTGTGGGAGGAGAGACAGGAGAGAAGGAGCTCTGATTGCCTTGGAAATGCCAAAGACAGCTCAGAACCGGTGGGGAAACTGAGGCAGGGAGCTGCATGGGTGTGCTTATTGTTCCATCTGGGTCTGCATATTTCTCATACAAGCTCATGCAACGAATGATTCGGTTTGGACCCTTGACAATGCCTGATTGTGTCCCCAAAGACGGGAACCGGAAAGCTTGGAGCATCCGCACAGCCGGAGCACTGAGCCAGGGTGTGCGTAAGCTGCGGGGGGAGCAGTGTGCCTCTGCCTGTCTGCAGCCCAGCACTGCCTGACTTCAGCCCCGGCTGCCAAGGAGCCCGGGAAATGTGGGACAGCCCAGCTGAGGGACCGGGCTGCAGCACACGGGACACGGGAGAAGACGCAGCTCCTGCCTTGAGACATCACCCCGCAGGCTGCCGCGTGTTGGGCACCAGCTCTTCACGTAGCACTCTGTCACAGGGACGCTGCACAACTCGCCATCGTTTTACATGCCTCACTCAAAGCCAGACTGTCTTTTTCCTTAGTCTGTTTCTACTTTTGCTTCTCAAAGGGCACTGTGGAAAACAAGACCAAAAAATCTCGTTCTTGTCCACCAGGAAAGCAGGTCTGAACGGTGCAGTGAAGAAAACATGGTTAGCTTTGCTTTCGCACCGGCTCAGAAGCAGATTTTCACATTAGCTCCGTGCTGCCCCAGAGCTGCTGCTAGTCTGTTATGACACACCCAGGCTGTGGGGAAGCAAAACATGTTTTTCTCCTCCTTCCTCCTCTCCACCCCCAAAATTATGAAATATGACAATGACATTATCATCTCATAGTTTAACTGTTCCTGCACAGCAGGGGAAGAGAGGTGAGGGAACCAAAACCTAAAGTAGGCAGAGAAAATTACGTTTGTTTATCCTGAGATTATGCAAGGATTTCTCAATTTCTCACCCACAGGATGGTCTGAGGTGGAGCAGCGCCTGCTCCGAACTAGGATACAGCCCCAGGATCCCAAATGCTTCTGGCTGTGGGGTTTGTCTTACATCCCGACCTGCATATACCCAGCCCGCGTTAACGTGCAGTAGTGAGAATGCTGATGCTATTATCCAGCCCTCTTAATCATTGTTTTGTACTAACAGTTCTTCTAACCAAAAGGTTTGACAGGCTTCAACATCTCTGGGCTACTTCACTGTCTTCTTATTTCAAAAATAAGTACCAGCAGATGTGTTAAGTTAACCTTTTGGTACCTACATCTCCAGGCACGTGTTGACACCAGAACTGGCATTTCTGCTGCAGGAGGAGAGTTTTGTGAGAGCTTAGAGCTGGTTTTCCAGGGCTCAGATCCCCTGCTGGGCAGGATTTTTGAAACTAGTACATGAGAGGATTTTTTTTCTAACTCCTTCGAAAAATCTGCCTACTAATTGTGCTGCCTGAAGGGAGCTAAAGACTTTTCAGCCCCCCTTTCTGCCTATCTTCCCCTCCCATATGCAATGTAAAAGCAAGTGTTTTTCCCACCACAGGTTTGGTTCCTCTCCTATGGAAGCACCGGAGTCAAGACTCATCTGTGTAAGTCCCTGCAAGCAGCTTTTGTTTCTTGATTACAGATGTTTCTGATATACCATCCTGGGAACCTCTGTTAATAAAAGGACAATTTAAAAGCCCTGCAGCCCTATCAACTGTCCATTTAAAAGATCGTTTGTAACCTGCTAATTAACCATTGTGCTCCACTGGTCCCGGACTGCTGGCTCGCAGCTCTAATGTATTAATGATCCTGAAACACTGCCAGAGCATGGAGTGGCTTTTTAAGAAAACTGGTGTTAAACATTAGGTGGTATCCCCAGCCCTGCCTGCAGGGAGAGCACTGGTGCAGGTTTAGGGGCAGCCAGGCAGAAGTGGGAAGAAAGGGCCCAGATGTGGCACTTCCAAGCCAGTAGCAGCGCTGGAGGCCATGAAGTTGCATCAGTGGAGTGATGTGCTCAGGCTGATTCATCCTGCAAGGAGACAGGACGATTTGGTCCCACAGCCCTCTGTGCTAACAGAGGCTTTCACTGGGTAGAAAAAAACAAGGCTTCAAGATGGCAGGGTAATGTAAGGCACTGGGGCTGTTTCTGAAAAGAAAATCGTGAGAACAGCTTTTTTTTTCTTTGCATTTCCTCTTTGGCAGCTTCTGCCACAGATGTGCGCTGCCAGATGCAATGAGGTCTTGGGCTGACAAGGTTATGCTAGCTAGAAGCACCAAGGGTAGCAAGAATGGGAGTCTTCTTTTTTCTTTTATTGAATTTCATCATGAATAAAAATAGAGAAAAATGTGGGATAATGAGGATGCCCATCAAGTGTTTTAACAGGATAAATGTGGCAAATGCAGAGAGGAGATGTTATTGAAGGGGGAGTGATGGGGGTGATCCTCTCTCCTAGGCACCACAGGCCTCTGTGGGTGGGAGGACACAAATAACCCAGAATGAGCAGGGAACCAGCTGGGGCATGAGGCTAAAACCCCCAAAGGATGGACCGTGCTGGGGTAATAAGAGAGGCTGAAAGCTAATCCTTGAATTGGGGGTCTCAGCTCAGGTCCTAACACACAGCTACTCAGATGACAACACTGATAACCCATCAGGCTCTCCTAGTAGCTGATCAATTTGGGAATGAAAATGAAGTTTCTCTTTCGGATTCACTACTAATTAAAGGATAGAAAACAAAAAGTGGCAAGAAAATGCCAGTTTCCATGGTAGAAGATTAGCAGGGCTGTGCCACTGGAACATGTGCTGTGCAACATGCTCATAAATGGTCTGGAAAAGGAGCTGAATAGAGAGATGACAGTTTGCTGATGATACTAAATCATCCAGGGCAAAGAATGTAATTTGCCAGGAAAGAGCTGCAAAAGATCTCTTGACATTGAATGCCTGCATCATAAAATTACAGATGAAATTCAATATCAATAATACAAAATAACTCACAGTGAGAAAAATGCCCTTTCTTACATATACACACACGGTAATGAAGCCTGAACTATGATTAACACTCAGGAATGAAATTTTGGTCTTATTGTGACTAGTTCTCTGAAAATGTTAGCTCAATTATTTAGGAAAAAAAAAAAGCAAAGTAAGTGCAAAGTTGTTAGGATAATAGAGAAACAAGCTAGAAACATTGTTAATGTCACTGAGTACATCCACAAGAGCCCTCAGCTTGAATACCACCTACAGTTCTGATCTTCTTGTATTAAAAGAATATAGTAAAAATAACAAAGGCACAAATTAGGGCAATGAGAGTGATCGAAAATATAGAGCTACTTCCTCACCAGACGTGTCTAAATAGGGTCAGCCTCTTAAGCCTGCAGAAGAGATGGCTGCGGGGAGATGTGAAACGGGTCGATAAAATCGTTTGTGCTTTGGGAAAGTGAGCAGGGGATGATCTATGCGCTGCTTCCCGTGACGCAGAGACAGCAAATGGAGTTATCAGGTAACAAGTCTGAAGGAAAAGAAGGGATGCGTGTTTCAACACAGCTTGTCACTTAACACTGCAGCTCCTGCCTGGAGATGTTGTGGGGGATAAAGTTTAGATGGACTCCAAAAAAAAAAAAGAAAAAAGATTAGAATTCAGGCAAGAAAAAGCCAGTCATGGAAAAAGATGCTGTTCTTGGGAGAGGAGGCCCCTAACTTGGGGGCTGGTGAGCACAGGAAGGGAGGGATGACCGGCGGCTGCCCTGGTCTGCTGCTCCTTCCCTGTCGCGGTGCTGCTGGCTGCCCTGCGAGCGCGTGGTGCTGGTGCAAACGCTGCGGCACTCCCGCTCCCGCTAGCGCATGGCCTGTGCTGGCAGGTCCCAGCTCTGCACTGGGCTGGCTTTGGGCGGCAGAGCCCACCGGGGCACGTTTCCCTGTTTACCAGCTGGTTCCCTGTTTACCGGTTTTCCTGAAGTGACGCAGCGCTGAGCCATTCAGCCTTGCTCACACTCTCATCGTCACCACAGCTCGGGTGGCAGAGGCACGCTACAACCCCGCTTACGTGGGGGGAACTGAAGGCCGGGGCTGCCAGGGTTTGTGGGTGCTCAGATCCCACCGCTGCTGGTGGGATTCAGCGTCCGTTTCCAAAATGAATTGCCATCCCTGTGACACACGGTGAGCTCTGTAGGCTAAAATTATTTAATAGAGGTTTTATACATTTTGGAATTACTAACTGATCTGCTCTCTGCACTGCAGTCTTCCAGCGCCTCTTGGAGAAATGCACTGCTCTGAGGAGCAGCACGTGAGAGACTTGCCAGCTCTCAGTTTTTCAAGCACTTCGCTATCAGAAAAAAGAAATCATAGTTTAAAACAGTAAACCTTAACGCAGCTTAGGAACAGCTGAAGTGACAGGGTGGGCCAGACCAAATCTCCCCTGACTCACCCAGCCCAAGCTGGCACCATGTGCAAGATGCCAGTGTGACCTGTCACTTCAGGCCCCATCTGCTTCTGTCACTGATCCTGTGAAAAGGGTGACCTAGGGTGGCTGGAAGAAAGCGGCTTGCAGAGGTGACTGTGAAATCAAACCATTTAACTCTTACAGCCACATCCCTTTGTCACGTTGTAAGGGGCTTTGGTTCTGAGAGCTGGTTTTTGTCTGGCCTGTTGTAGGTGTTGTCTGAGGTTGCACAATTAAAATGGTAATATGAAGATATTTTCATTAAGTAGGGATGGAACAGGGCCTGATCAGTCTAGGGAAATCACCAGGAACAAGGAAATCTCCTCAGCTCAGCTGGACTCTGAAACATCCAGCTGGTAACAGGTATTGGAAACTAGAGTTTTGAACACTTTTATATCTCCTTCTAAATTATAAGATGAATCCAAAGAACCACAACAAACACTCCCACAAAAGCCCATTTTATAATAAACTCATTAGCACACTCTTCCAGAGCTGCCATTTCCCAGCCATGGGAGGTGTGCTCGGTGCAAGACCTGTGCTTGCTCCTCGCCTCCCATGCCAGCTGGCAGAGCGTGTGATCCCTGAAAACACCCTGCCCCCGGGAAGCTGTGAGCACCCGTTCTGCTCCCTCTGAGCTTGTAATAGCCTGGGGGAGGCATGCTTCAAAGCTCAGCAACAGAAATCAGGGGACAATTTTTCTGTGCCAGCAAGAAGCATGATGCCATTGCTATATGGGTCTTGCCAGCAACATCGGTCCAAGACTGCTGTTGAGCCAGACGGTGTGTCCAGCCAGAAGACCAGGTGATCAAGCAAAACTAATCTTTCTTTTCAATCTTAAGTAATGCTGAGGGCAGATACTGCTCCTTGGTGGTGTTATTCGATCGCTTGAGTTATATGACGCCTCTGTGGCTTTCCTGTGCTCCTGACAGACCCTTCTCTTGTTCAGCCACAGCGTGAAAGCACCAAAGGGCTCTGCACAACCCTTCTCCCTGTGGACGGCCTCCCTCTCGCCTCCCTCACAGCCCGCTGGTGCTAGAAGAGTGCCCGAGCTTCAGGCTTACCCTCTGCCAACAGAGTGGCTGGCTTTGGATTAAGGGGGAAAAAAAGGGAAGATTTAAATGAACTTTGGTATCTGAAGAGGAGCAGCGTAGAGTTGTTTGCATTCCTGGGGATTATCAGGATTACCTTCTAGCCCAAGCTGTGTGAAGGAGACCACTGTGGCTATGTACAGTCGAGGAAAGGAGTGATTGCGGAGTTCTGTGAGCTCCTTGCACCGCTATATGGAGGTAATTGCATTCATTGGGAATTAAGTTAAATGAATGGTAGCACAGTGGGAGCTGAAAGTAGCAGGAGTACAACCCAAGACGCCAACCTATGCTGAATCACCAGAATCAAATCTGCCAGGCATTAGGGACTTCACACCCTCTTTGCCAGTTCAAAGCATCGGATCTTCAGCGGTTCATGTAAGAAGGTGTGGGCAGACATGGCTTTGAGCCAGCACAGCTGTAGGCCTGGTCCCATCAGCACTCTGGATCAAACTGCTTTGGGGCCTGTATGAGCAAGGCAGCACCAAAACCGTATACGTGGACCCTCTGCCTCAAATTTCACATTCCATAATGAAAGTATAAGAGAGGTGACCTCTTTCAGGGCTGTCCATACACTTAAAACACGGCTTGGGCTCTGAAGCCAAAATCTAGGCACTCCTCAAGCTGCTCTCTCCTAGCACAGGCTCAGCCTTGCTGACCTCAGAGACAAGTATTTAAACAAGCTTGGCAAGAGCAGAAGTGGAGATGCTTGCCCGGGACCTCACAGAATGACATCTGACAGCCTCAAGTCCAGCTAGAGCCCAGGCACGGTCATGTCACCCTCCTCATGCCTAGGTGTGTTCGTGAGGCCTTGACTGAAATGGGTGACATCTGCCATGTGAACCTCTGTCAAACACAGAGTGACCAGTGGCTCAATCAGGCAGCCTCTGTGAGGTTTGTGGCATTCTAAAAACTGTTTGGTAGCCAAAAGAAAGGGGCACATGGGCTTTCAGAGCCTAAGCGAACTCTGGAAAGGAGGAGCTGAAGATTAACATGGGTAGCTAGGAGACGGTTGGCTGCTGTCCCAGAGAGGGTGCTGCACAGGTCTCCCAGCGTTCCTGGGTGTGTTTGGCAGCTACACTAAGTGTTGTTTTCCTGCATAGTCTTTGCTGACCCTGTTTGCTGCAGGCATTCTTACTTATCTGTGCAAACTTCCAAATAGGAAAATATCACATGCCTCGGTGTGTGTAAAGAGGAAGGTATTTGCAAAGAAGTATTTGAAATATGTTTCAAAGATTAACAAAGTTCAGCCAGCTCACCCAGTAGGTTGAGGCCAAGCACAGCAGGACTTGGGTTCAAAACAGATATTGCCCAGCTCTATTAACTTTTAAGTTGTGCAGCAAGTCAACAGGGCAGTTGACCCAATCTGCTGTATGGCCCCAAAAAGAAGTTGCTAAGAGACAGGAGGTGAGACTCATGCCCCAAATCTGGCAGTGGTTTCACCAATCCTCCCAAAACAGCATCTAGTGTTTCTTATGGACCCAGTATGTTTGAGAGCCTGCTAGCTCTAGATAGGATCGCAGAGAATGGAAGGACTGTAACCTTTCCTCCTTCACAGTAATGGAAGCTGGAGAGTTTTATGGTGATAAGCCCAGACTATCACTATGTAGTGTCTCCCAGTGTCCTGGTGCTGGGCTAGCTCCTGCTCTGTCTCCAGGCCAACACAAGTGGGTGCTGCTGCAGTCCAGTCATTCCCAACGTGCTTACCTTTTCCTTGTTGTCCATGGTGATGGCAATCTGCATCCTTCGCCCCCGGCGGAAAGCCACCAAATGGTCTGTCTCTTCTTCGCTCAGGTCTGGCACTCTGCCTGGGCCAGGGAAGCACTCGGTGCGTTTCTCACTGACGATCCGCTTGCCCTGGAAAGGACCGGATGAGTTAATGACACCTCTGTGAGCCCGGCGCAGTGACATCCTCGGAGAGTGGCCATCCCCAATTTGCAAAGGGTTTTGGTCTGGCAGAACAGAAACTTGAGCTGTAGAGTCTGTCCTTGTGGTTTATAGAGCCGCCACCCTGCTTTAAGGGATATGGGATAGTACATAGGCATGTTTAACTGAGCACAACTTAGGTAGGGTGGGACTTACCCTGTTCAGATGAACACTAATTGACATTTTTATTTTAGACAGGCGAGCCATCTTGAATTTGTCTTTGAAACAAACATGAAGTTGTTCTCTCGCCAAACAACACGTCCCAATAAAATTGAGGCTATGCTGCAGCAGAAGCCTAGAGGGTGAAAGAGGAGGGGAACAGTGGTGTTCTCTCCAACCTTGCCCACAAAACGAGTTACTACCCTGAAGTGTATTAACACCTGATAATTTATCATCTTCTTAGTCTGTGCATTCATATTTCTGGAATGATATATTCAGCAGTGGAATAGTTTAGAAAACTGATATATAAACTCCTTGAACAAGGGCAGTTTATCCGTTTCAGATATTATTTCCAGCTGTCTGTATCAGTTCATGACTTCACTGCATGGATTTACATCTGGTTCTTATTTTGTTAATTATCTTTGTTGCTTGCTGAGCTCCTGCCAGTGCCCTCAGACATCACTTCCACAAAATGAGCACATCTTTTGTGCAAAAATACATACTTTTTCTCATTTAAAAGTATCATCTTTCAGTTCCTTCATGTGCCTTTTTTTTTTTGCCTTACAAGGAAATTAGAGACTTAATAAGACATCTCCATCTTTATCTCTGATCTTTTTCTTTCATCTGTATGATTCCTCTGATTGAATTTACCAGGGATGAACAAACCTCAGAAGCTTCCCTCTCTAAAGGATGGTATATTTTACTCTGTTTTTCTCCTTGGACCTCCATGCATACCGGAGTCTTGATTTCAAAGGAGCTTAAAATCCCAAGTAAACTTCCGTGAAACTTGGGAACTCTTTGTTGCTACGAACTTGGTTTCAAAAACAAACAGCGCACACTGACCTCTGATTTGTATGGGAGTCTTGCAAGCATCAGTGGGTTTGCCATGACATATGACATCAAGATGACCTGCATTAGCCTCATCTTCTCTTGGCTCTGCCAGAAGTGCAGATGTTAGCATAGGGGGAGCCTTGCTGTAGACAGCCTCCGTCAGCAAGACCTTTTTTATCACTTGTTCAGTCATCGAGCTTCCTAACACATGATAAATGTTTTAGGAGGTCCTGGAGTATTTCCAGAATCAGACCTTCAGTCTCTTGTTTATTCTTCTTCCACATCTGTGTAATGTTGCTGTCTCAGCAGAGACAGTTCCTGTGTTAGACCGATGCATGTGAGAGGAGGAGTTGGCTCTGTCTACCAGAGCTGTGTGGACATGGTGGGAACCTTTATATACATTCCCTTGAGTACATACAGCTCTGGGCTTAGGTTTCAGCTGTAGCTCCTAACAAGTTCTGCTGCCCTTAGTAGGACCCTTGCTATTTCTGCTTTTCTTGAAATAAGTGAAGCCACATGTTGCATTCAAAGCAAGGATCTACTGCCAATCTGCTCAATGCCATTCCGGTACTTTCTGTGTTGTTCTCTATGTTTGTGTCAGGGCAGTCTCCTACTGTGGCTGCTGCTGAGGACCAACATCTGTGAGCCATCCCTAGAGATGCCAAGATGTTTTTTTTTCTGGAGAGAGTAAAATCTGACAGCCAAGAGAATAGGCAATCATTTAAATGTGGAGTACAACTCTCTTGGCATCTCCCATAGCCAGACATTTAGGTGTACTTTTACCTGCAGCCAGGATATATATCCTGGAAAAGTCCCCATACCTATAAACCTTGTGAGCTGTTTTAAAGGTATTAGTCTATGCATTGGTCTTGAGAAGGATATGAGTTTATCAGAGACCAGGCAGAGCCAGAAAGTCCAAACTAGAAGCTAAACTGCTCTAAATCCTAGCTTTACTCCCCCTCCATGAACAGGGCATACTATACTGTCCTAAACTACACATTCCGTTGCAGTCACAGCATTACAAGTGATTGCATTACTGCAGCTTAGTAAGTGACCGCCCGATTACTAAACTAAAGCCAGCACTGGTTGAAGGTGTGAAGGTCAAGGGCAGCTTTGGCAGCAGCGACCAGAAGACAGTGGATTTTAGGAGCTGGAGAGCAGTAAGTCAAGCAGCACACCAAAGACCATGGGCTTCAGGAGAGCAGATGTGGAGCTGTTCAGGGACCTGGCAGGCAGGACCCTGCAGGAAACTGTCCGGAAGGGGAAGGGAGCCTGGGAGACCTGGCTGATTTGTGTGGACACAGGAACATCAATAAGGACTTCCCATTGTACTAGGAAATAAGCAGATGTGAGATAACTTGGAAGAGAACTCTTTAGCAGGGGATCAGACTAAATGACCCCCAGAGGTCCCATCCCACCTCAGCTACTCCGTGGTTCTGTCGCGTCCAAGCCTGTAGCCTGCTTCAACTGTGACGGAGAATGTACTCAGGTTTTACACCTGTATATGTGTGTACATGCACAAAGGCATGTGTGCAGGTGTATGCAAGTAATGAATACACAAGAATGAATTGAGTAATTTTGCCTGTTTTGTGCAGCTCTGGCTTTTCTACAACTAGAGCTAGGTAGTACAGACCAGAATTCAGGATCAGGGAGCCATGAAGCTCACAAGCACTTTAGGTCTTGGCTTTTAAGTGGAGCAGCACCTGCTTCTGAACGACTGAATCACATCATGTCCAGAAGTAATGTATTTCCATTGCCAGAGCTATTAGCCAATATAAACACAGGATATTTTAAAATGAAAAGAATAATTCAAATCCTGTTCATGTTCTATGATTCATATATTTTATTCCTAAATTTCACAGAAACTGGAGACTGGAATTAGAATGGTCAGCATACGATTCCTGCTTGCAGTCAAAGAAACCAACATGGTTTTTCTTTATGCCAGTGCAAATCAGTATTAATGAACGTGGGTGGAAGAAAAATTAACCTTTTGAATAGACTGTCTGGGTCTTGCATTTCAGACCACAGAGCTGGGCTGGATAATTTGAAGCTGCAAATCTCTTTTGTCATTCCCTCTGGGTTTATGGGGCAATGTCTGTGGCCACAAGAGTATCCTCTGGTCTCACTCATGTTGGCAGTTATGCTGAGATGCTGTAGGAGCTCCAAAATACAGTATTAACATGGTCATTTTAGGAAGCTACTGTGTATGAGCACTCATGGACCATGCCAGTGCTCTCACCTTGTGATAAACACAGGAAAAGGCAGTTTTATTTAACTCTTCCATTAAAGACTATATAAATGGACACTTCTTACAGGGCAGCTTGCAAAGTTACGCTAACTGAATAATGTGTCTTCCAGATATATGAACTAACACTTCCCACTGCGATGGAAAGGCAGTGAAAACTGAAATCTTGTCATTCCCTCTGAAAACCTGAGCCTTCCTAGTTAAACTTTCCCCCACAGCTAGCAAGGATGAAGTGATAAGCATCACTGCATGTGCTTCACAGCTCCCCTTTGTAAGGAAAACTAAACTCTTTCTTACATGTGGAAGACATGGAAGAAAAGTGCCTAGCAGTTTTTTGAGGCCCTCTACACATCAAGGGTCTGTGACTTAACCCCAGAAATGTCAGTGGAGTCACAACAGGGACAAATACAGCCTCCCTGTTTTGGAGCTGGTGTACACAAGACTGCACCTCTCTTTTTTCTCTCACCACACCAGCCTCTCCTATTCTAAAAACCCGTTTCTCGCTCAAATCTTCTGGGGAGGAGGGCTCTGTAGAGCAATCTGGGCAATTGCCCAAAGCAATCTGTAAAGCAATTTTCAACGAAAAGAATCTTTCTTTTCCCCAGCATCTGCCTCACTGGCAGCAACTCTCCAGCTGAGAAGGCTGCCTGCTGCCACCGAGGAACTCTGCTGCCCAAGCAGGGTGACACGGTTTCCTCAGTGTGCAAACAGTCCCTGTGAGGACGGTGTCCTCCCAATATAAGAGCAAAGCTCTTTGGGGATTGCAGGAGCACCTCAAGTGGGACTCTCCTGCACAGGGCCCAGTCCTGCACGACTGTAATACAGCTGGAGAAGAGCTGAGATCTGCTGACATCCCCTGAAGGCAGCCAGACACATTGTGCCATGCAGAACAGGCTCTTAGCTGCTTGCTGTCCCATCTCCCTGCAGAGGCTGAAATATGGTGGCTTTGATTTGGAACCCCCAAATCGCTTCAGCCTGGCAGGTACTTCGGTGCTGAAGCCGTACATTGCTTTGTTCTTCAACGGTTATTATTCCTAGGAAATATCTTTGCTCCAGGCATAATCCTGAGTTTCCTGGGACATACGGGGCAATACATCTTCCCTCCTTTAAGCCCTGAGCAGGCATGTACAGTAATACTGGGCTGTACTGCTGAGGTTAGTTAACGAACTGGAGAGCTGAGCTTGCTCTGCCCTAGACAGAGCACTGATAGAAGGTGTTCAGCATTCTAGTTACTGATTTTTTTATTAAGAAAATAAGCCCAGGCTTAGCAATGTAACAGTAAGCTATTAGTCCATAACTTGGACATCAAACATTAATTCTAGCTTAAGCCAACAGCTGTTCCCTAGAGCTCTTCAGTCTTTAGATGGTGACGGCCTGTCCTTTAGACAAATAACATGGGCACAAATAACTCTTGCCCAGGAGGCCCAGCACTGGGCAGGTATTTTTGCAGATGGCTTCATCTTAGAAAGTCCTTCCTGAGAAGGGACATGGGCCCTGAGTGCAAGCCACAGCAAAGCCACTGCCTGAAAACCTGCGAACCGATGCAGAGGACCTCGTACCCAGATAGAGGAGCCCAGATACAGGAGCAGGACAGGAGCCTCAAAGTACGCTGCTGGGTTTACTGGGAGGTGGCCCTTTCCTCAGGCTGTTAGCTGCTAAAAGTCCCAGTGGGAAGGCTGGCGCGTTGGTAAAGCCACTAAACCCTGCAGCTTATTGAGCAGATGGCAAGGAAGACTCGGAGGCTGATACAGGATATAGGTATTTAGCAGAGCTGTGATAGCCAGACACATACAGGCTGGAAGACCACCACCTTTCCTGGGTAATACCTTCTCTCCCTCCTTCCCTCGTTCCCCATAGAGCTTCTGGCTACAATGCATCGCCTGAAGGCACATTCTGCTTAATGTGACGCCATGTGTCTTTTTTCTCTTGTTTAATTATTTTAACAATATCAGTCATTTCCTAGATTGCTCGTCCCACATCGGGAAATCCCAGTCCTCAGTGGGCCAGCTCCCAAGGCGAGGGATGTCAGATGAGGAAAGTGCCTGTGTAGAGCCAAGGGGAACAGAGGGCAGGGCCCAGGGAGCGGCAGTGCCTGGCAGAGCCACTCCTTCCCCTCCACAGGGTCTGTCCTGCCTCACTCACTGCCCACAGGAGCTGTGGGACTCTGGCACTGACTATTTAGCTGCATTCAGACAGAACTGCGCTGCTTCCCCTGTAGCACTTCACCAAGAAACTGTAAATGGAGAAGTGCCCATCTTATGTCTGAGGCATGCCCCAGATTGCAAAAGCAGTGTTAAAAACACCTGCCTGAGGAGTGTCAGGAAAAAGAACGTGGGGAACAAAGCAAAACCCTGGACTTCCATCTAGTTTGTGCAATTTTCCAGCTGACTTTCCTCTGGGGCTTCTCGCTTTATAATGATTTGTGGTATTTAGGATTGGATGTCAATGGTTTTCTGCACAGCCCAGCTACTCTGTCACTGGAACCTTGCCATGGTCAGAGGAAGGATGGTGAGGCCCAGTTTGTCATCTCAGTGTCACCAAGCAAGTCTCTCCAGGGACACCTGCTCGCTGGGAATCTACCCTTTAGTTATCTACCCTCTTTTAATCTTCAGCAGACCAGAGGATGCTTAACAGGGCAGCAGCAACAAATAAGCCTGTACTTCACATGATATCTAATACAATTTTGTCCAAAATCCTAATAGTTCTTCCCTCTCACCCATTACAGTCCTATGCTCGTCCTACTCATCCATTTTGAGAACTATATTTAAAGTAACTAAAGGAAGGTTCTGGATTGATGCCACTGGAACATTCACTGACAAATCAGTTTTCCTCTGTCATCAAGTCAGGCTGCTGGGTTGTACTTTACACCAACATTCAGGAGACCCTGTGAAAGGTGCTTAATACAAGCAAATTCATAGACACCGTACAGGAGGGACCTTATGGGGAGTTTCCACCGAGGTCTGCACTTCCAGCAGAATAATCTCAGAAGTCTATTAATTGTCCATGCTGAAAAACACTGGCATAGAGTTTAAGGCAGCAGTGTGATTTAGCTGCCAGTGCTTTGCACTAATACAAATCCCCATCTTGGACTTGAATTCTGAGCTGTAGATGATGGAAATGGCTCCAGGGAACACAGTCTTTCTGCGAGAGCCACTCACTCTGCAAATGTAATTGCTTCAAATATAAGCCCCCCATGCAGAGCTACACAGCCATGAGAAACCTTGGAGGAGACTCTCAAGTATTTCATTGGAAAAGATCAGTCAGTAATGAGGAATGTCAGATTTCTATGTACTCCCTCTTGTAAGAAAAAACAGAATTTCCCCCCTTACATCAGGAGGTGGTTTGGTGGTGCTGGAATGAGATTTCATTTGAAGAAGATGTCCACGCTACCAGTAATCTATCTGGAACAAAGGAAATGAGAAGCCTCAGTCCCTTTCTCCTCAAAAATCACTCTGAAAGGTCCATTATTTCCTAAATGATTCAATTCCTTCAAGGTAACATGCAATGACTTTATAATGGCACAGTGATTGTGGCCTATTTCTTCATGGAAAGGGAGGGTAACTAGGTCATGGAGAAACAGAAATGAAAAGGCATTGAAGGCACAAAAATCACAAAAATATTTCCAAGTTGCCTCAGAGGGAGAAATGGCTCTCTGCCTGTTGTTTACAGCTCAGGTTTTCAGCACTCCTACCCCAACGCACCAGGGTAGCAGGAAGGGTGGGGTTTCGCTTCATGGCCCTGGGAATGCCTTTGGCTCAGACCTCAGTTCAAAAAAGCCCACTCTCATTTTGTGGGCCAAGCACGTTGCTGTGCCTGAAAGGGGACCCATGGGAGTACTATTTGCTGCCACCGTTTCCTCCTCCCATCGCCGCTGTGACGGAGGCAGGAGCTGACCTCGGGCGCCCCAGCGTCTCAGCAAGGCCAGCTGAGGCTTTATGTCTCCTTCACACCGGCACGGTCAGCACAAAGGGGCTGTGATCACCTGCCTGCTGTGTCTCCCCTTGTCTCACTGCTGTCTTAGTCTTAATCAATAAATGGATAAGATCGCCTCTTGTATTCTTTCAGAACATATTCAACAGCAACGAAGATCACTTGCAGCAATAATCTGCCTCCAGGGACTCACTAACTAGAGAGCTTCCCTGAGTGCCCACACAGGTGCATCTGTGCAGGCAGATACTACATTTTCCCAGAGAAGGTGGCACTTCTGATCCTCGTTCCTATTCATCTCAGGGGCCAAACTCACTAACTCCAGTGAGAACAAGGCCGGTCCCCTGAGATACACTCCAAGTGAAGAAAAAAAGAGTGTGAAGCTCATACAGGCACGTACTTCCTTGGCTGTGCTGCCAATACTAACTGCCAAAGTTCTATCAAACCCTTCCTGGCAATAAGTCCCGATGTGCTGAAGCTGCCACTGGGATCATTACATCAAGATGCACAGACTGCACGAGGGATGGGCTAGTGCCCAGGAGTGGATGCTTTGGGATTTAAAAAATGAAGTAGCTTTTTTAATTACTTTTGCCTTCTCGCATGATTTTTCATTAAGTCTGCAAATACTGGGTCACAGTTTCTGCCCATCACATTGGCAGCTGCAACAGATACTCATGTCACTTTTTTTTATCTTCTGCATTCAGGACTTTCTGGAATACAGAGGGAAATGCTGCTGATTTTACCACCAAATGTCACTGCCTCCCTGGGAATAGCTGGAGAGTAATGCAGCTAAATCTGTCCGAGCTCCCACGTATTTCCACCCCCTTCCCAGGCACAGCAGCACACTTTAACAAACCTGCTAGTGGCCCAGGAGGGAAATGAGGTGACTGATCTCTCAGAAAGGGAACTGGCTACATGTGGCTGGATGGAGCTGCTGGGTGGTTTAGCAAGGCACAAGTCAGAAATGGGGAGGGAAGTGGTTGGCAGCTCAAGATGAAGATTGAGGCTGTGCTGAAGGATTGAGAAATGAGAGAAAAGGAGAGGGAAAGGAACTATTCCTTTGGGCAGTGAGGCACCTGGGGACATGCTGAGCAGAAAGCTAGAGTAAGAGTCAGAACAGAAGCCCCTTTGTGAGTCAAGAGGTTGCGGTGTAAGAGGAATCCTATTCTCTGCTCACCTTGGCTTTGTTGTCCATGGTAACAGCCAGCTGCATCCTCTTCCCCATCCTGAACGTGAACATATGATCTGCTTCCTCCTCCTCCTCCTCCTCCTCGCTGCCAATGCCGAACCCAGGGCTTGTAGGACAGGGGCTCCCCCATTTCTCGCTCACCACCCTTTTGTCCTGGAAAGCGAATCACTTCTTTTAGCAAATCCAGGCCCCTCAGCTCACCAGTGGGATTCCCTTCCCCAAACACACCTGCATGCGCGCAGGGAGGCCATCTACCAAAAGGCAGGCCTTGCCCCAAGGATGCTCGCTGTGCCCGGCATGGTGCCGTGACATTCCTAGGGAACAAGGGGCTCCTTGTCTGCTCAGCAGCGAAACCCACAATTACAGCGGGTCTGGAAAATCCTTTGCACTTACAAATCTGACATTTCAGACTAAAATGTCAGAGTTATGGGAAACAAATGTCATCCTCCTCTCTTTCTGCAGCACTCTGAGTTAGATCAGGAAAGCCTAAGTCCTGATGGAGATGGCCTGGGAAGCCAAGTGGATGGCTCCTGAGGGTGGTGCTCACCATCGAGAGGGCTGGGCTATCTTGTCCATAGTGTTCAGTCTGGGTAATTGCATCTTTCAGGTCCTGTATGAGAGAAAAATGTGTGCAACAGCCCACCTGCGGAGCAAAGCAAGGGCTGGGGCGTGGCTGAGAAGTGAGCCGTGACCTGGCCTGGATCTAATAGCCCAGGAGCACTGACTGCAAGCAAGGAGGTGGGCTGACCCCACCAGCTCCGCGCGAGCTCTAGTAGAGGACTTCGCCCAGGGGTTAAAGCGGGACTGGCCGGGTGGTTCACCAAGCCCCACACTGCCGGGAGGGGTGGACAGGGCTTGTCAGACACAGATTTGGCCCAGTTAGGAAGGGAGTGTGGGACTTGCAGGCTTTGCCCCAGCTGTGGGAAGCCCCAGAGCAACCAAGGGCTACTTGCTTTGACCACAACTTTGCCCAGCCTTCGGGCACTCTCAGAGGCACTCCGGATGCCCCCAGTGACACACATCCACCTGCCTACATGTCTGCAGTGATGCTGACACCCAGGACCCGTCCAGAGCCAAGTGTGCCTGTTCACACATTCATTCATTCATTCACCTATGAATTCATAGTTCCATGTGCCTGGGTACAGGTGCTTGGGCATGGCTGGAAATTCATGTACACTGCCTAAAATCACACTGAGCACACACCTCTGCAGAGTTTTCACATCTGTTTGCAAAGGCTTAGGAGCCCTATGCCTTTGCTGTGGAGGCTACAGCTTTCAGAACTGTCACTTTGCTGAGGTAGGACTGGAGTGAGAGCTGGCCTGTGGTGAAGGAGAGGCAGCACTTACATTGTGAGCTTTGGTGATGGTAATAGTGAGTCCGTCCTGCTTGGGTCTCCGGGAGGTAACAGCCATTCCCTCCTGCTCTGCTCGCTTTTTGTCCTCTTCAATTTCCTGAAACATAAATATCCTTATCATCAGTATGTACCTGGATGCCCACAGATGTTGTCCATTTTCCTGTTTAGGATTTCTCCTAAATGGACCCACTTCCACCTCTAAGAGGGAGTGGACCACCTCGTGTCCAACCTGTGTGCCCTTGGGAGGGGTCACAGGCATCTCTGACCTCCATTACCTGTCCCTGTGGCACAGGGTAAATCTTGTATTGGCTCAGAGTGTGCCCTCTGGTCTCAGCATACACAGTGGAAGCAAGCCCAGAGCATGGGGGCAGCTTCCTGACTGGCAGGGCAGATGATGGGTTTGAGGTTTGGGAAGGATTGGGTGTAGGATTTGTGGAGAGGCTGGAAGACACACCAAGCCTGCAGAAAGGGAGGGCCATGCTCAGAAGCCATCGTCCCTGTGTCACTCTGGGGAAGGGCATCATCTATGGCCAATGGTTGAGATCTGACTATCTACTAGGCAGCTTCTTCCAGAAGTCCGATGGTGGGGGCAGGTGGGCAGCATTTCGTATGGGATAAGAGTTCCTCTCCCCCAGGCTGACCCTGGTGTTCAACCCTTCCCAGAGCTTTCCACTACATACCACTTTTTGCTGCCACCAGAAAAGGTCCAAAATGGCTCCTGTGGTATCAAAGGAAATGTCTTCTAAGCAAGACCCAGCCCAGAGCACCACTCTCAGCTCTGGACCCAAGACACAAAGCCTACTCTGGGTTTCTGGGTTTTCAGCACAGCTCTCTGCCACACTCGAGACTGCCCACCCAGCCAGCAAATGTTAAAGAGCCCCTAAAGCCAAGTGGCCTTGGGAACAGACAGGAGAATGTCTCAGACAAGCCAAGGGGGATCCTTCTGCCAGGAGTACCCCCAGGCTGTCCTGCTCTGCACTGCCCTATGCAGGCACCCATGGAGAATGGTAAACAAATCTGCAGGGAGAGCTCTGGGTCACCACAGCGTCCCCTAAATCAGCTCACACAAGCCAGGCTGGGTATCTCCTCCAGGCCCCTGGGTAGACTCTCTTGGCCAAGGCAGGACAAAAAAACAGCTGGAGGGCTTCCTCCTAATTCAGAAGGTAACCAACAAGCTGCTAAAGCCTTGATTTACCTTCATCTTTTTTTTTTTCATGGAATCTCTTTTGGAGATCTCTGTGCTCCTTGCAAACACTGGGACCAGTGAGGAAAGAGCTTCAACCCATACCCCTGCCCTGGTAGGGAAGATAAACCTATCAAATGTCTTGAGGATGCAACCTTCAGTGCATCCAAGAGGATAAGCACGAGGCACTGGAAAGGACAGATGAGGAAAAAGTCAGGGGAGTAGGAGGTGAAGGGGTAGAAAAGGTGTGATGCAGGTAGAGGAAGATGGTAGGGAGAGAGGAGATACTGCAGCAGCAAGGCAAGCTGCTTTCCAGTGCAATTCAGGAGCTGGAGCTAAAGGCAGAGGCTCTGCCAACCCACTCCGAATCCCTTCTGATGTAAAAACTGTGTTTGTATAACAAAGTCACTCCAACACCGCTGACCATTCTCATTACACTGGGAGCTGAGGACTCCAAAACGGACCTGGCAAAGGTAAGAACCTGCAGACTTACCTGGTATCGTCGTATGAGTGCTTCATTCTTTTTCCGCAAAGCCAGTATTTTCTTATCGAGTTCAACATCCTTCTGCTCTTTCTTCCTTAACACTGCATCATCCACAGCAGCATCCTGAAAACAGGAGCAAGTCATCAGTCATCAGTCATCACACCAACAGGACAAAACCCACTCCTTCTGTTGAGACAGGGTAGGAAGTGGAAGAGTCCTTCCCCACCATTTCTCCCCTTGGTCCTCCATTAAAAAGAATACTGTATCTTGTAAACTGACTTTTTCCTGACAGAACTGACCTTTTATTTTCCTACAATTTTTGTTCAGCAATGAGGTAGTTAGAGCAAAAGCTGTTGTCCCAGTTTGGTGGCTGTCAGTAGGCTCCAGAGTTAACACACTGCATGCAGTAAATGACATCTCTCCCTGCTGTTGGTGCAGGTGTTCCCAAGCACATTAGTTCCCCTCCATTTATATTCAGAGAGCACCTTGGTTACCACTGGGGATAAAGAATTGGATTTTTTAAATTCTACTGACAGCAGTGTCTAGCAAAAATTAATGCTGATGAGCATCATCTCACTGCAGCAAGCTGATCCATATCGTCTAGACTCTGCCCAGTGTTTGCATGAAGAGCAAGGTGGCAAGGCTGAGATCTCCAAGGCACTACAGGTTTATTTTTAAACAGTGTTTTTATGCTCTCCTTATCAGCATGGCATCTGCATGCTGCAGAGATCTCATATTCCCACTCCTCCACTCACACAGAGAGCCGAGTAAGATGAAGCGAGACTGAGGAGGGAAGGAACCCCAAATCTCTGAGCAGGCATCGCACGTCTGGGTACCTCTTCTGCTAACATGGCAACTCTAAGCACCACTAGGCTACCCCCATCCCGCCACCTTTGCCATTTGGCCCTGTGCAATAAATCTGCCGCAGGAGCACTGCAGCAAATCCAGCTGCATCCAGCAAATCCATACTGCCCACAGTGCCAGGAAAGTTTGGAGGAATTGAGAAGCAAATGGAAGAAAAACGTCGCCCATCTTGCCACAAACAGACGTTGCTCCTGCAGACGATTCACCCATCTAAAGCGGAAACAGCCAGCGTGTGGCAGAAAAGCACGGTGACGGTCCCCAGGGGCTGGAAAAGAGGTGCCAGCGTCCTCTGGGGTCAGCGTGGTGAAACAATCCTGTACCCCTCCTCGCCCTGGACCTGTCCGGGTCTCTGGGGCCAGTATCAGCCCCTGCTCCAGGACACCTCAGCCCCCAGCTGGACCCCGGGGGCCGGGAGAGGGACCTGCCAGGGCAAAGCTGTGCCCCACCCTCAACTCCAGCCTCCCGAACCCTCCCAGCCCCAGCCCGGTGCTGACCTGATGGCTGCTGTAAGCCTGGTCCTAAAACCAGTTTCATGAGTATACTGGGGATAACTGGTGAGGTTTCAGTAGTGGGGATAGGCTGCAGGGTGCCCTGTGAGGGGACTGACCTCAGCTGGTTGCAGGTTCCAGCCGGCTCCATCACGGGCTTCCCGCCAAAACCCAGCCAATCAGGGGAGTCCGTGGGGCCTCTGAGCCAATCAGGGCAGTCCGTGGGGCCTCTGAGCCAATCAGGGGAGCCCCTGGGGTCCCTGAGCCGTCAGAGGAATGAGGCATCCTCCAGGGGAGGCAACGGTGCCTCCAAGGAAGCGCATGTCAGAGAAAGGGGGGAAGGAGGCCAGGGAGGAGGTAAAGAAGAAAAAGGTGCTGCTGGGAGGAGGAGGAGGAGGAGGAGGAGAGGCCCACCTGAGTGGGGACACCAGAGCAGCTGCTTCCGGCAGGGAAGCCTCCCAGCACGGACCCCATCACCGGAGCTGCCCTTGCCTTGCCAAAGGGAGAGGGTGCCCCGTGCTGAGTGGGGTGAAGAACAAAAACATGGGGGTGAGTGGTGCCAGCAAGGAAGCAGGGGTGTTTTTCCTAAGGAGGTGTTTGGTTTTATTTTTCTTTAAAACCAGTATCAATTGTTAATATATGGTTGATTGGCAAATAAAATTCCCTGAAACAATAAAGTGGTTTTGCTGGCAATGCATGGGCAAGGCATGTTTTTTGCCCATCCCTGTTGGCTTCCTGTCAAATTCCTCATAAAAACACCAAGACCTTCAAGACAACTGTTGGTTTTCCCATTTTTGCGGGAGTGAATCACCACCACCTCCCTGCAAGTGAGTATTTCTGCTGCCCTTGCTTCTCCAGGGCCAACAGCTCCTGACTGTGCCCATCCCCAGATCAAAAGCCCCAGGAGCATCCCCCACTGCAGGCTCCGGAGATTCAAAGCTGGGAAGAGTTTCTGCAGAGACAAGAGGGGCTTTTCCTTCATTAATCATGACATAGCAGGTGTGACCTCCTTCAGGGAAGGATCTGTCAGGGGCCAGCCACAGCAGCTGGGGACACGGGATCTGGGTCTGACACCCGCCATGCCCTGGGAGCCTTCGTGCCGGCGGTGACTTAGGCAGCCAGGCTCCCCAGGGTCTGGCCTCCAGCGGTAGCCAACAGGCTTGCAAAGCCCTTCTCCTGGGAAGGGAGGGTTTCTCCCACAGACCTCAGGTGCCTTTTGCCTGGTCCTAAGTAGGTCACCAGAGGAAAAACTGGAACAGTGGAGGTCTGGCAGAGGGGATGGAGGGGTGCTGTCAAACACAGCCCTTCTTAAACTGAGCCAACACACAGTGAAAGCCCAAGGCTCGATGGCAAAGAGTAAAGAGCTGTGGTAGCCCAGGGGAGGGAAAGCCTTTGACTTTGCTCCATGTTCCCTGTTTGTGAACTCTATCCAGTGACATACAGGGGCTCCCACCTCCTGCAGATGTATGTGTTTATAGCGTGCCAGTGCATCAAACAAGGCACAACTAAGGTGACGGGAACCTGAGCTTTGATTTTTGTGTGTCATGTAGAACTTTGCCAGGATGGGGATATTCTGCCCATTTGAAAGCACAAGATTTTAGATGAGCTGCAGGAATTACCTCCTTAACACGGGAAGGTTTTCACTACCTGAGAGGTGGACATCGAGTGAGAATGTGGGCACATTTGATCATCTGGCCCTTCGGAAAATAATTCTAGGTAGTGTGTGGGAATTCAGCCAGGGGTTAGCACCACTGCTCTTCCAAAAGCATCACAGGCCTCCTGGGAACCAGGGCTGCAAATCATCCCGTGTGCCCAGCCAGCGCTTGCCTTCAAAGGAAGGGATCCAGCTGCTGAATCACCGCACATGCCTGTAATGCTCAGTCTTCCTTTCCAGGGCTTTACATGAAAAAACCCCAAAGTTAATGACATTTTAGCTCCCGTCAGGCAGATCTGTGCTTGATCTGCAAAGAACAGGGCCATGGATGGGGGGAGAAGTCTGCGTGCGTTATGTTCTTTGGTGAAAAGGGACTAAAGGTTGAAAATGTGATAGCATCACAGAGGAGGTGGGCTGGATGTCAGAAACAAGAGAGGGGAAAGGCAGGGGAACCGGTTTGCTAAAGCAGATCTCAGATCTGCCGAAGCGCATCTTCACTTGCCTCCTCAGTGAGGGTTATTTTATTGGTGCTGATTTACCAGCCCTTGCTGAGGGCCACTCTGCCAGGACACAGGCATGCATTTGTGTTCAGGTGGAACAACAGGGACATTTAAACCGCCTCCACACACTCTCCTGCTGGACAATGGGATTTTGTCAAGGTCTGTGGGAGAATGAAACACGTTTTTCCATTGTCATCAATCAACCGGCTACACGACAGGTGAGTAGACTGTATATGTGGGTGGATACACTTTCATGGCCATTTTGCAAGGCTGATTAAAGCCGAATTCAGTGTTTACCTGAACAGAAGCTATTCTCTGAGCACTAAATTGGCAGGTTCGCTGTTTGCCGAGTGCTGGGGTGTTGGCTGCTTGAGGGTGGGATCAAAGTGGTGTATGCCCTCAAACACACCCCTTTCATCTTCCAATTCCTTTGAAGGGGCACTGACAGAACTGCCGGCTCAGGAAGAATTTAAAAATTCCTGCAGAGATTGTATTTGTGCTCTTCTTTTTTCAAAGGCGAAAGATGGAAAGGACCTGTCAGGCCATTCTCCCTCTCCGCGCAAGACTGCACATTTGTCAGCATTTTGTCTACGTTGCAACACAGCTCGTGCTGGGGGGAGGGGGGGTCTTTCCATTTCCAGCTGGAAACAAGTCACTGGGAGGAAAGTTTTGTTGGTATTCAGAACTTCTCCCCTTTATTAATGAAGCCATTAAGGTATTTCTCTCTGCGCAGTCTGGGGAGCTGCGGACGAGAGCGGTCTGCTGCCCGCACACCCCGAGGCCACAGAGCAGCCCCGCTGCACGCAGAAGCGCCGAGCGGTGTTTAGAGCCCACGCACCAGTTCGCAGGGGCTCACCCATTGTATGGTTCAGCCAAGTCAGCGTTTGCTTGTCAGCCACCACTGCGAGCCAGCCACTAACAGGGGGACGTGCCCTCTCCTCCGCTTCTGGAACCAACTCGTCACTCCAGCCCATGCTGAAGCTGATGCCCAGGATGAAAAGTGGCTACACCGTGCCCTCCCCGGAGTAAAGCTCTTCCGGGGAGTCAAGGTGCCCGTATGTCACAGCGACCGGAGAGTTATAAATGGCTTTGGCAGAACAAACGTGCAATGGCTTTGAATCAGCAGCCGAGCCCAATGCCTCCTAGATAGCAAGGCAGAGCGAGGAAGCTGCAGAATGAGAGGCCTTTTTCTCTAGCAAATAAAACTGTCACAAAAGGAGAAATGGAAAGCTAGTGGCTTCGTGCTTCAATTAAATGACGACATCTCGTACTGTCATACCCCCACTCCTAAGTGGCACACACACTTGCTACGCAGCTCATCGGGGGCTGGAGGGACGCCTCGCTCCAGACTGTCTCTGTGTGCAGTGTTTTCCCACATACTTCTACGATCGCCTGCTTCTACAGTGAGAGACCTCGGAGGCAGCAGGGTTGGAAAAGCGAGAAAGACAGAAGGTGGGGGGGAGGGAAGAGGAGAGGGGAGCGGGGCCCTCAGCTAACACGCTTCTGCGTAAGCAAATGCATCCGCTCTTTTTAAGAAATATCCTCTGGCTTGACAGCTGCAGCTGAAACCCTTGCCGGGATAGGCACCATCCAGCACTGCCTGGGTTTCTGTTTGCTGTCTGCCCTGGCCTCCCACCCTCCTGGGAGGCACATTGTCCTGAGCCAGCCACCACAACCTGCCCCTGCGACGGACGGGTAAACCCCGGCACCCAAAACCCACACACACGCCCCCAGCAACCCCCCGCCGACACAGTACTGTTTGTTTGCTCCCCGTGCCTGCTGGCAGCCAGGCAAGGAAAAAAAAACAACAAAGCGACAACCACCGAAAGGCCACCCTGAAGGAATCGAGTGCGAGTCCTTCCGTGGGCTTTTTGGGTGAGGGACCCCACCGCCCCGCGCCCCTCCCAGGCCCCACAAAGGCAGCACTCACAGCTCGGTGCATGTTGGACATCGGCAGCGAAGCCCAGCAGATTCCAGAGCAGAGCTAAAAGAGGAGAGCCATCAGACGGCCTTTCTCAGCACTGGTTGCACAGCATACAAGATCATGTTTTGATTACAAAAGCCTCGTCTGGGCTCCCAGCCAAGAGCACTGGCTGCCTAATATACCAAGCACAGACAGGGTTTTGAGTGCCTGTGTCCTCCTCTCCAATCTCACTCTCTTTTTAAAAGAAACACTCCCCCTTTTCCCCCCTCCTGACTCCTTTTAACTTCCTGATGCCACAAGCCCTCGTACAAAGTGGGAAAAGCCAGGCGAACAATGAAAAATGGATCAGGCAAACAGCTTGACTTCACTTCGTGGCCATTCACAGGGTCGTGTTATTTGTTATGCATGGCTAGTTGCACGCCTGGTGGGGGATCGGGAAAGTATCTGGGGTCCTGAATGTCTTGTGAGTGCGAGTATGTGCATGAGCCGTCAGGGGAAAACAAGTGCTGGATTTGCCTTTTTCTGTTTAATTTCAGTATTCTCCAGGAATGATTTCCCAGCTTTTAAAACGCGCCTTTCTTTCAGGGTGGGAACAGATCAATGCTGTGGGGCGGGCATTACCAGCTGGCACCATGACCAACAGAAACCACACAGTCAAAGGAGAGGACTCCCCATAAGTCCACATCCGAAAACTGCCAAAATGATCCCCAGAAGAGTCACAAGTAGCGGGGCTTTGGGAGAATGGGGGCAGCATTCAGCTGCTGCGTTGTGAGCTGCCACACTCAGACCCTTATCTCAGCGCTGCGTCCTGGCTGTGTGCTATATCCTCCTCAATGCAGGCTGGCTGCTTGTCCCCCAACCTCCGTGGGACCCACCTCGAGCAAGAGGCAAACAGGAGATGGGGGCACATAGGGGAATATTTCGTTGCCCAAGGACCAATGCACACCCCAACCTTAATGAGGGCCCTGCTACACTGATACGGTAAAATAAACAAGCAGGCCCACTGCTGGTACCTATCCCCTCTAAGACTTTTGAGGAGCTCAACGGCTGACAAAATCCAAGTTGTTCAACCCGAAATCCAGCCTGGTTCAAGGGAAGCCTTCAAAAGATTTTGAAGAACTCTGAGTCTGGCCCCTCCTCTGCACATAACTCCAGCTCTTGGAGATCATGGTTAAGGCATTAAAGGAGCTGGAAGCATGGCTCAGTAAAAGTGCTTAGAGGGAAAGGCTGACCTATATTAATTAGTAGCTACTCAAATGATGAAAGGAAGCTGAAGCCATTTCCCAGGCAGTGCCTCTGGATTCAGACTCAACGAAGGAAATGGAGACTCTACTATGGATGGAAAACTGGGAAGAAGACACTTTGGCAGAGGCCAAGTGCTCGTCAAGAGGTTTGTGAGGGAAAAGCCTGTGCAGGAGGTCCAGAGCCATGTGGGGCTTTTTCTTGCCCTGAGAACATGCTGCTGCCTTGGGTTTCCAGGCTGGCACAGTCCCTTGGTGGGGCAGAGGGGTGGCCTGGTTTTGGTGGGGCTGGCAGCCTCAGGGCTGCAGGGATGCTGCGGGGCTGAGCCAGGGGGTCAGTGTTCACGGAAACACTTTTTCCCATGATGATGCATTACCCCATTTGCAGGGTGCCGTGTTCCTGGGCTAGAGGAGTCTGCACATGCTGCCAGCGGCCGGGTCCTGGTTAACACAGGACCCCCCCCATTATCTGCACAGGGTGGGGTAAACACCACATGCCGTGGCTCCATTGTGCTACCCAGGGATCACAGCAAGGGGACCATGTCCTGCCCAAGTTGTCAAGGCTTAAGCTAAGTGCTCTCAAGGACTTTCTACAGACCTCAGAGCCATGGCATCCTAGGTCTCTGCTGCTACCAGGGGTGTGGCCAAGCTCTTCCAGCAATGAGCAGGGCCTTGAGCAGGCATGAAGAGCCCTAAAATACCTTTACCTTTGCTAATGTCTCTGGAGAGCTACAGTTCCCTCCAGGGCAGTGTTGGCCACTCCACTGCCCAAAACACAAAGAACTGACATTTCTCAGCTGTCCATGTCTGAATGACATAAATAACAAACATCTACTTCTGCATCATCATCTGAGGCCAATGAATGCTCAGTTAACACTGCAGACACAGAAACCCAGGGGCAAAAGGACCCAGTCAAGCAAGCAGCATCTGCAGCTTCAGCAGTGGGGCCGAACAGGCTGGTTTGGGGACCTGTTTGTGCTCTTGGGACTCTCACAGGATTTGGACAGCAGAACCTTATAAATATGCTGAGATTTGTGGGATTATATGCATGCACATATATTTGCTTATTCCTGGTGTCATGGCCAGAAAGGGTTGAATAACACTGCGGCTGTCCTCAGCTCGAGGGCTTGCTCTGAACTGCCGGGAACTCTGATGTGATTTAAGTGCAGTGTCAGTCCCAGGATTAGCATGGCCTTCCCATGGGGTCTGTGCCTGCCTCGGGGTAAGGGCAAGGCTCTGGGACCATCCTCCTGGCACCAGGGAGCACCAGCACCCAGAGGTCTGCCACTTGGGAAGGGCAGGAGCCAAAGATGGTATCCTGCTACGGTGAGAAGGCTGTGCTGGATGCCTGGGAATCTGAGAGACCTGCAGGACCTCAGGACACACTGAGTCCTGTCCACATGAGCACCCCCACATTGGTGGCTGGAGCACATCCATGCTGCTCTCTCAGGCAGCTGGTGGCAGCTATTTCCCAGCACGCAGCAACCTGACAGAGTGCTTCAGCCAGTGGGTGTATATCACACCCATGGCCAACAGGAAGGACGTTTGGAGAAATGAGCTTTGTTACTCACTCAGGAATTTGTCTACCACCCCTAGAGTTAATCTCTTTATTCTTCTAATATTGCCAGAAGACCTTTAAGAGGCAGGATGGCCTGATTCTGGGCTATTGGGCTCTGGCTGCTGTGGACTGGTTTGTGCCACCTCGGAAGCCTGCTCAGCACAGAAGCCTTGGGGTGTACCCAATGTAGATACCCCAGGTTGGATCTGCAGTTTCTACCTTATGGAAAGAGGATCTATGAGCACTTGCTGACTGTTGGCAGTCCCTGAAGGGGCAGTTCCTGGAGCGAACAGCAGCTTGACTTCAGGAAAGCCTGAAAGCTGGAGGAATTGGGACATAAGGGTGTTTTTGCTGCGTGTTGCCCTGCTGGGGCTGTGCCACGCAGGGGCTCGGCTGACCTCCCTGAAGCACAGCCCCCAGCTGCCTGCTTGGAGAGCCTGCTCCCCACTCAGGGTAAAGTTTGTTGCAGAATTTTCTGGGACAAAGGAAGGAAATCAGGGCAAGGACTTGTCCATTTTGTGCTCGTAATTTTGAAACAGTTCCTTTTTCTGGCTGCGCCCTGCAAAGCCTCTCCCTCTCAGTTTCAGCACAAAGAACCATCCCTGAGAGGAATTGTCCCGCTGCAGGACAGCATTCAGCAGCTGGCAGAAAGTATTGCCCCACATTTTGACAGCAAGACTTTGATTCTTCTCTGCCTTACACAAATGCTGAAGGAAAGAATCTGATTCCTCAATAAACCCAAACCTGACTGCCCTGAACAGCATTCCTGGCATCCCTTTATCAGCCCTTCCACCAGCAGGAACCGCCTGGCTTGGAACCCGCCTTCCTTTTCCTTTTGCACTCTGTGAAACTCCTCCAAAGCCACTCAGTCCCATGCTGCCACTTTTCCCGAGTGCACTTCACCCATCTTCATCTTGGCTTGGCTCCATTTTTTGCACGACCGCTCTTTAGTCAACAGATGGCACTCGGTAACTGCTGGGAGAAGTTGGGAACGGCTGCCGAGCGCGCAGCCGGCCCTTTTGGGGGGCTCCTTTTAGATGGTGCATCGGGGCTGCAGTGAGCGGCGTGGCCGATTTCAGCACCACTCCCGCACGCTGCCCTGAGCAGGTCACGCTGCCTGAGGCTCCGGAGCAGAACCATCCCTCTCCAGAGGGAGGGATGGGAACACACAGAATATCAAAGAGGAGTTTCCCAGCAGCCCGGAGGCATCTTTCATATCAACCACCGAGCAGAATGCCCTGCGATACGCAAATTCCTCCTTTCCCTTCTTTGCTTACCTCCGTGCTGGTCCTTCAGCCAGCTGCAACTGCGGGACGAAAATGCGTTTGAGGCACTTCCTCGGGCCAGCCAGGAGGAAGGTCAGCGTGTGCCTCAGCCTGGGAGGAGGGACCAGCCAGAAACCTTAAATGGGCTTTAGTTGCAGAGACTCCCAGGGATCAAAGGACTGCTGAGACATCCATTTTTAAATGTATCTATATACAATTCAAATGAAACCTGGCAAAGCTAGTTAAAGGATATAATGGCAGCCTGGTCCTGCTTAAAATCAGTGAAGATCACAGCTGCTTGTTGGTACTAGGGGCTGCTTTCCCATAGCGACACCAATCACAGCACCAGCACAGAAAACTCCAAGGATTTGTGGAGCAGTCTCATTCCTGCTGGAGGAAGAGTTTGTCCCCGTTCCCCTCTCCTCGTGCACCATCCCAGCCTGCAGGTTCTTGCCCCACATCCTGTGTGTGAGATCTGTGCCTACCCCTAATGCCACCTTGAATAACTCACCATCTCATCACCTCACCTGACATTTTCTGCTCCTGAAAAACTTGTCATTCTAGTGCAGGGCCTCTGAAGCTGATAAGGGGGTCTGTCCTCTTAGTTCTGTCCACTTCCAGACACACACAGCAGGGCCAAACGCAGATTTGCTGACCCCCTTTGCTACCCCAACCTTCAAATGTAGGACACATGACCCAGCCTGGGGAAGGGCATCAGCCTGTGGAAAGTGGCTAGGACAGCCAGTCAGGCAGGTTCTTTTCATCTTTTATGGAAATGTAGTCCTTGGGGAAAGCACAGAGAGCTGCAGACAGCAACTGGTTCTCCCTGGGTGAAAGCTGTTGTCAGCAGGGGCCAAGGGAGGTTCCCCATTCCAGCCCATGGCTTCAGCCCAGGTCTAGGAGGATGTGGGCAGCCCAGTGGCCTGTAACAATTCACAAACTGCAAATGAGCATGTCAAGAGCCAGCAGGGCCTTGACATGGTCATTTGCCCCTTGTGAACTACAAAAAGTCAAAATTATTCAACATAGGGCTGTTTTGGAGCTACACCAGTGGTGACACAACCCACTTTCCGTCTGATGCAGGAAGAAAGAAGTGGCAAACTCAGCAGCTGTTCTCCAGGCCCATGAGTGCCTCTCATCCCAAT